TTATTGATTCTTCAGGGTGGAAGTATGTCATGTTTTTATATGAAGCATGAAATTCCACAAGAAGTAATCGTTATTTCCTCAGATTTCATTTTTCTCACATTTACCATAAATTTTCATAGCGTAAAAAATATTCCACCCACCATCACAATATCTCATCTCCTATTAAGTTTCACATAATGAAACAAACGTATATAAAGTTCGTTATTTTTTTTCTAGCCATTTGATAATCTTATTAAGATTCCAACTCGACCCAAATTATATTCGATATGCATGTGCATGTAATGTTTATCCTAAAGCTAACCAATCGAATGGCATTGGTTTAATTAATACAATTTTACTATACGAATGTCAATGAGGAAGGTTTAGATGAATTCTAGTGAAGGCGTCAGAAAGTGATGCCATGAATATAATGGAAAGTGATAAACTAGCTAGTTTTGATCGTATTTAATAGCTTAATTAAAGTTTATTAACTTTTTATTCTGCAAATGCATTTTCATTGGACCTTTTGTCTGAAAGCATAACCTAATTAAAGTCATCCAAAAGTACTGCTATATATTTAAGAGCTAAAAGTGAATCCTTAATGTCTCCTGTTGCTGTGAATCTAAAATAAAGTTATTATAAGTAAATTTATGGGTTTTGCATCATGAATGTTTGTTCATTATTTCGTACATGACATAATCCTCAATAAGAGTCAATTATCATTCAATATTTGATGATAGAAATGCTTGTAAAGCTGAACATCTTGTAAACAGATTGCAAAACAATCAACAAATTATATTCATACAAAATGATTCATCATAAACAGTTTTCAGCAGTAAAGCAAGATCAGAATGATATTTTACAGTATAGATGATTAATGTCGCAATTTGTTTTTGTGATAAAAGAGTTTTAGGCATAGAAGACACGCAGGAATTCAAAGCTTTCAATTTATTATTCAAACTAAAAAAATAAAAGTAAATCCCCAAAACGCTTTTTTGAGAAATGAAGGCAATATTTACTTTCAGATTATAATGTCTTATTTTTATTCCTTATACTTCGCATTCCATACGCTCCTCTCATTCTGTATTTTTATATCTCCTGTGAGCTTTTTACATCTCCACCATTATCATCCTTTCATTTTCCATCTGATCTGAGTGCTTTACTTACTTTTATTGTCTATTTGCTCCTCTCCTGTTTTAACTTGCTGCTTCTTCATATTTTCCATCTCTCTTTTACTTCCTTTCTAGATATATGAAGCAATTTTATTTGTACAATAGATAAAGCAATGAATAAAATTTATAATCAAAATTTATCACGTATCTTATCCATAAATGCCAATACCTTTTTCCATAAACCATTGCTCTTGACTCTCTTTAAATTTTTTCGATTGCAACCATGTTCTCAATGCTATTAATACCCAAATACACTTGAATTGTACACAAAAAAAATTCTTAAATTTTATCATATGTGCTATAAATTACAATTTTAAATAGCATAATGAGCGCTACATTAAACTTTTAAATATATGTGGATGAGAATTAAAGCAAATGGCATTTAAGATAGTGATGGTGATGCACAATGAAGAAAAAATATAAAGGAATAATAAAATCTTACCGAGAATAAATGATTCGTGCACGATTTTTCTATTAAGATGTGAAAATATTTTCCTGACTTTATGGCTTTAGTTTTTTTTTATGCAAAACTGTGCTAATGAAGATTTTGTTTTTATGGAAAAGTTTTTACTCTGTTCGGTGAGAATCTTGCAGATTATATAAAAATGAAATAAATTAAAGCTGTCAGATGAAATTTTAAAAATTCGAATATCATTAACAGCTTGTGTGGCTGCAACATGGAAGATTAGGTAAAATTCCAACTTTACGATCGGGAATTTGGCTATGATTTAAGTTTGTGGTTCTCAAACTATTTTGGCAGTTGGTTAATAAGAAAAAGATATTTTATTGATGATGATGATGTCCTCTGACTTTATTATTAAATAGAGAATTTCAGTTGCTTCCTTGAAAAACCCACTTCCAAATGGCTGCTCACCAAACAGCACAAATTTAAGAGGATAGTAAAATATTTATAAGATTTTAAAGACTTAAAATGAAGCTCAATAAAGAAGTCAAAGACATCCTAGTCAATACCTTAAAAAATTTATGTCTGGGTCACACATGCCAAACCCTTATAAATTTTAGTAATTTTCTCTTTTTAGAAACAAATGCGAAGGGAAAGTCGTATTTTAAATGAAAATAAAAAAAAAACTTCTGTAGATTGCTTTAAAGAATTGCTACATCTCCCCTCATTTTTCATTTAATTATACTCCAATCCTTTAGAAAATTTCTTCACTTCTTATTTGTTCATTTTTCACAATTTTCTTTTCGTGATTAAATTTCTAAAATAACTCGTAATATTTCAAGCTCATGAGCATCAATAGATTCATAGACATTTATAAAAATCAGACTTAAGAAACAGACAAATTGCCACGAACGCCTCTTTTTGTTGATAATACAATGCGCTAACAAGATTTGATAGGAAGGAAAGGAAAGTCATCTCATTTGTCATGAGAAAGAAAAAATTCATTGTCTGTTATGTTCGCGTTTGTTATTTAAACCAGGCATGATGATCTGTTTTTATACATGAAATAATTTTTGGAAGTATGGGAATTATACATCATTATGACATTCTGCTATTTTCATCCTTGGAAAACTCTTAGGCATAAAAAAATAATTTCCTGAATCGCTGTATGCGAAGGCAATAAGTAAGCGTGCTCAGCACCGGACGTCAAAAGAAATCAATAAACAATAAATTGAATGATTATTTATGATATTGCATGAATGAGCTATTATTTGTTAAGGCATTCACAATTGTAATAGTAATAAATAAGGCAATTTTTGAGAAGAATTATGATCTCTCTGGTTTTCTTTCCTCTATTATGCTTCCGTAATATTTAACTGTTAGGCCAACAGAAAAGTCATTCCGAATGAATACAACCAAAAATATTCTTCTCTATTTGTGAATGAAAAATTGCTTTTATCTCTCATTCCGCATGTTGCTTCTTTCACAAAAAATAGAAAGCAATTTTTTCCTTCTTTTTATGCTGTTTCTTTTGTGTGTTTTTGCTAAATGAGAGCTGCTGTGAATCTAGATTTTCGCTTTTCTAACCATTCGGTCAAGCTACAGTTTTAAAACTGATCATAAACTAAGGACAATTCAGCTGAATAATGGATCAGTTTTAACGGATTCGCTAAGATAAAAATTACAAAGTTCCAGGTTAACTGGATCTAATAACAAATGTCTTTAAAGTACTTTTGAGTTGCTATAGCGGTTACCCAAAGAATATAACCTTAAAGAGCCCTTAAGAGGATCATTTATTTAGATATAATCCAATGTTTAGCAAAACTCCGACGTATAAAGCACCAAACCCAAAAAATGCGCCCTTATCACCCAAAAAGTAATTTACAAGATACTTCCTCTATTTTTTGCGAGGATAATGATTTTTCAGAGCGTGGCAATTTTAGTCCATTGCAAATGCAAAGCAAGCATATTTAAAGCATTAAATCTAAATTATTATGCAATTAATTCTCAAGACCTAATCTTATTAAGCATTTTCTTTCCTATTCAAGACAGTGACTTTGTTGCTGGTAAATTGCGGGATGCCAAAAATTAATTCCTTTTTTTCATTTCCGCTTCTTTCATTTCGATAAAAAAAAGCATGCTTTCATGTTGTGTGCTTATAAACATTCGGTGTGGGATGTTAGACATGTGGGAAGACAGGAACTTCTTGTAGCTACTATTTTCTTGAAGTAATTTCAAAGCTCATTACCATTATACTTTGTGTTTATCCAATATTTGAGCAACAATTAAGGTTTTAGATCTAAGCATAGAGACATCTTACTGATTACAAAATGAGCATTTTAATTGGCTTGTATACACAAAGTTTCTTAAATAGTGACTCCATCACCTTCCTTTAATTAATTCTATAATTATTTCATGAGAATTAGGAAAGAAATAATAAGGAGTAAAGGTATATAATAAAGCATTGTGATTTAGTATTGTTCGAAATACGAGCAATTTATTTATGGTCTCCGACGTATTCAAGTAAAAAATTTGTTATTGTGTCTTACAAGTTGATGTGCTGTCTAATTTAATTAAATATGAGAATCTTTAGCAATAGAGTCATTGATTTTTTTAAATTTTGTTTAAAGGCAATTAAATACACTTTATAGGGTTTTTAATTTTGATGTTAACGCAATATAGCAGTAAACTAGTAAAAGGACGCAAGAGCCGGTTTCCAAAAATATCCTACCCAAGTATCAGAAAAATTTTATTTTTAACCTTATATTGAAGTGCATCGAATTCATGTCTATTGTAAGGTGTCTTAAGTAGCTTTAGAAACTCGAACCAAAACTTATAAAGTTTAGACATTCAGTTAAAATTGATTCCTGTTGGTCGAATTTTTGAAAAATGTAATCAAGCTCTAGTCAGACTTGCGTATGAATCCCTTAGTTTATGATCCACTGTTCTGAATGAGTCACATCTTTTTCAAAATTCAGTCTAGATTTTCCTAGGTTTGACCTTACAAAACTATCCAGATAACAACAATCCATCCTGCAAATTTCTCAATGCACATTCTTAAATTTTGTCATTATTAGAGGCCCAGAGGGCGAAGTTGATTAAAATTGTATACCATAGTCTTGTCATTCTTAGTAGACTAAAATCGATTTTACTCTCTGATTATTAGACAATTTGAAATATTACCGTTAGATATCATGCTAATCCACAATGTCTCCAGTAAGCTAATTAATCACAATGATACAAAGTGTGTCAAACCACAAAATTATTTCCTCCTGAATCAGAATGAGAAAAAAATCTGCAATAAATTTATAAAAATCAATTCGGCAATCACCATAAATTATTGTACTTTGTTGTTTCCACACCTACTTTAATTTTCCGAATGATAAAAAAAAATGCTCAGCACATTAATTCACTTTATGTCTTTTTTTTTCGCTATTTTTTTACAGATGGAACCAATCGATCCACAAAAATTGATATCATCCACAACGAGTACTGGTATAGCAACAACATTAGCATCAACAACTGGAGGACACGTGAATATTAGCCTTAATGATCCAAGAAGTCCCACCGAGACTGTTTTATCAGGAGATGTGCCGGCATCATCAATGGGCACGTCGCGTGAGGATGAAGAAGATTCGAGTAATCAAAATTCATCTGATTGTAAAAGCCCAGGACAAAGGTACATGAACTGATATTTTAATATTGTCAATTAATTAATTGAAATAGCATAAAAGCATTCCTTAAATAATCAACCAAACTTAAAACAATTTCATGTCAAATATTTGCAAATCAAAGTCAAACAAAAAATGAATAACGAAAGTTAATAAAATTAATTTTTAAATAATACCTAAATGATTCATAATTTATCGGAATTTATAAAATTAATTAAAAGATTGATTATAGTTTCATTTATCGGTCACCCTCATGTTCATCAACCTTTGAGCGAAAGCCAACGACAATTAAACGTCAACGCGAACAATATACGGATATTGATTCATTAAATAAAATTAACAATGAAATTGAACATAAGGACGAAGAAGAAGTGGAAGGAGATCATAAAAGTACGCCGATGAATTGGAGTAGTCTCAGAGCGGTTGGACGTTTCTACTGTCAATTACGAAAAATCAAGAGGCAATGAATGAATAAGAAGCTTGATAAAAAATTATTAAACTTATATAAAGAGATGATTTTAATGTTGCTATAATCCTCCATACTAGCTGAGTCCTATATACAAATAATATCAATATTAATAATTATTTTCCACATTATGGAATTGAAACTTCTTCAAACTAACACAAGGAAGAAAGTTTTTCTTATGATTTATTGCATTTTGTTGTTGGAAAAAAAGCTAGAGCTTCATCTTTGGGGACGTTCACTAATTACGTTACACTGAAATACTTTGGTGCTTAACCATCGTGATAGTGACATAACGCTCACTGGTTCAAGACTTAAGAGCAGGCTTGTCAATTTTTAAAACTATCCAGTTTCCAGTCAACTGCATTCCTCTAGCGTCCGTAATAAGTGAACGAACCCATCTTCTAAAAATATATAAAATAAAGATAGACAACCTAAAACTATCTCATTTGCTTCATTATCCTTTTGTTAAGTTGAAGTTAGTTGGCAATTCAACTGGCAGAATGTTTGTATCATTTTCATCTCGTGTCTCTATCACTCTGTCTTTCTCTTTCTCTCTACTCATAAAAAATATATTGTTGTTAAGCTACATAAATAATGTGAAATGAGATTTGATCGTTTTCTTGCTTTTTTAAATCTATACATAGACAGATGAATGCACATAAATTTCTGTGTCATTTTATGCCATGGTGTGCCAACTATTTTTATCTTGGCTTTTATGCTATTTTCAATCTACTCAAATTTTCTCTAATCTTACTAAAACTTTAAACTTAATTTTTCGATGTTTTCAGCACTTAAGCACTCAAACACTACCTTAAGGCTCTACAATATCACATAAACTATTCTGAACTTATCTTAAAGAATCTATAACTTATAACTATTTTCCTATTGCACACAATTGTTCACCTTAAATAATGGACATAAATTCTATTGAAGCATAGTCAACTGGCACACTTTGGAATCTCTTAAATCCAAAAAATACTGCTAACATCTCATTCCAACTTGTTTTTTTGTATTATTGATATACTTATGGTTTTATCTATGGATATATGATAGTGCTTACGGAACAGACCTTTATCCTTATCTCAAATATATTTTCAAATGAAATAAAAAACTATCTGGTATTGTGTATAGCTACTCTAATATATTATATAATTGTCGAAATGTCAGTGTATTTTCAACCTGTCTCACTCTACTTCTTCTTCTTCTACTACTTATTCTCTATTTTCTTTCTACACATCTTGCCACAATTTCTCACAACATTTCATTATATTTGTACAACATATATTTACACTCTTTGTCTCTATTACTCATAGTCATTGAATTAATAACATTATAGTGTCATCCTTTTGTACTTTTTACTATATGCCTACTTATAAACTTAGATTGAAGACATAGAAAATAAGGTGTATAATAGTCAATATGTTATTAGTACCAAACAGTTCTTTTGTTTACATGAAAGCTTGAAATCGAGTAGATATAAAATATAAATCAATTTAGAGTGGATAGACGTGTATATGCTAGAAAAGCTTCCAATATCCAAAAATACTTTCTTGTTTTTCTTCAAAAACGAATTCAGTGCCATCATCAGCATTGGATTGATTTTATAACAAAAAACTTATTGATTCATGTTTTATCGTATTATATGTTAATACACCACAACATGTCGTGATAAGTAATTGAATAAGTCTAACATAAATAAATGAAATCATTTTTTAATGCGCACGTAATGACAGGTAAAGAACATTCGATTATAGTATGTTTCGAGTATAAAATACAAATACAAGCAGGGATAAATAAAACGAATATTTAGAACATTTTCTGATTATGTAACTCAAAGAATATCAAGTAAGGACTGTTCTGATAGAAGATATCGAGCATGTAAGGCCTTACTTACTTTCTTGGCTGAGGCGCACCTATCCTTTGAGACCTGCTTCCATTTAAGAATATTAAGGACTCTAGCGTCCTTATCAACTCATCCAATCCAGGTATTCTTTGGTCTTTCTCTAGTTCTCGTGCCATTTATAAAGTCTGCAACTGTTACTCTAAGTACTGGGGCATCTTGTGGACCCCTAAACCCATGAAAGTATTTTTGGCCTATTAAAGAAAAATCCTAAAGGACAAAAATAATGCTTCTGTGGCTGAGTAGTAAGGTCACAAGAGCCATCATAGGAATAGGCAGCCTCATATGGATATTTGATAGTATAATTCAGAAGTGTACATCCCAAAAAATGCCAAGAATCGGATCATGCTTACAAAAGACAAATTTTGATTAGCATCACGTCTTATTAATCAAGAAGCTGTCACATGAAGCTTATTTTCTCAACAGCTTTTCTTTTACTGAATCATCATTTTTCATCCAGACCAGCCATTAACATTTCATGACCTATCATTGATCTGATAGTTGCTAAGTGAAAACTCAGATAAAATTAAATTAACGAGAGTAAATATACTCACAAGTGTCTAGTCTCGGTAAAAAAATGTGCTACAATGTGACGTATGCACATGTACTCAATGTATAAATTGAAGAAAACAATTTCGTGAGAATCAATTGATTGCTAGAAAAGCAATATTTTTTTCTATTGTTTTCCTTTCTGTTTCCACTTCTTCTATCACATGAATAAACAATTTATACAACAATATTTTTTTTTTCCTTTTTAACCGTCTCGTAGATCCTTACAAACTAAATCGTGACAAAAGTCAGAAGGAGTTTGTGTCAATGAAATTTTCTCACAGCACACAACATAAATATTCTTATATTGTTCAACTTTGAAAAAAAAACGCAGATACATAAAAGCCACAGTAATTTAATTACGCGCTTAAATTGTCGCTGAATATGATGATAACATTTTCATTGCCAGAAAGGCAAATGCTATGTATGCATAGCAGCGACAAAAAAAAAATCAACAAAAATAATATGTAGTGAAAAATGTTGGAGTTCTCATAACAACGTGATATTATATTTAATTTTTTTTTTCAAGCCAAACTCATGCAGTGCCACACATAAACATTATTACGCAAACAACTTATTAAAGGAGAACAGCATTTATTGTAGGTTTAAAAGGGGTTCTTGGGAGATTTCATGACTAATGAGAAATTTCTTTGTAGATTTTTTTTTGATACTCGAGTAAGCCTTGAGGAAGCCTTTTATGTCTGTTTTACCTGTGAGGCATTTTATGAGAAATAAAAATTAATATCAAATCACAATGTCTTATTTGTCATTACAGTTAATCCTTGAATATGAGGAACAACTCAATCGATTTGTTTAATACATAAATTGCGTGCTCTCTAATAATTCATTAAAATACATTAAATTTCAATAACTGTAATTAACTTTCAACTTTTTATTTGTAAAAACATAAAGTACGTAGAAAATTCCACGAAAGTATCAGTAAATGTTTCCCAGAAGAGTCAACGATTTGAATTTAAATAAGAAATTGAATTTTAATGAAATTCATGAAAAATTTTTGAAGGTTGTTCTTTCAAATATTCAAGTGTGCCTATGAATATTTTAGCATGTTTAATAATTCCTAAATTGTTCAAAATTCTATTTATGAATCCAACATTTGAAAGGTTTTTGCATTGTTTTATTTACACAAGTGGCAACAACAAAAGAAATCGTCTGCAGAATTGTTGTTTTGATATTAGAGGCGTTAGAACCTAGTAAAGAGTTGAATATTAAGCACACTTCTGAAAAATTCTGCAAATACCAAGGGTGTGGAACTGAAGAATTACATTTTGATCATTTTTGATCATTTCATCAGTACCACACCCTTGGCAAATACTATTTGAAGGAAATAAAAAATCTGCATGCCAACACTTTTGCGGGGGGAAAACAATACGATGTAAAAATATTTTGATAGGAAACACTCATTGCATCTTGCCGAAATTTTTAAATAGAATGATCATAAACATTTCTCTCATTGACATCTTATCGAAATATTTTCTCATCATGTTGTTTCCCTCTCGCAGTTACATCGATTCACTACCAGAACTAAACGCATATTTCAACTACCTTTAAGTCACGTAAAAAACTTTCCATCAATATTCCTAAAATTTTACTTTCACTTGATTTCAGATTATAAGCTTAGTGTCTATTACCTAAACTTTTGTTATGCTTAAACTTTGTTTGTTTATCTTCCATGAACCTTTACGTAATATAAAAATTTTAATGAGAAATAATATTTGAGGCAAGAAGATGCAACGATAAAATTATTAAACAAGATGAATTGCAATTTCTGTGCTCGTCAAAGTGAAGATGGAACTTGTGCATTTTTCAAAGCATAAAGGAAATCATTAATAGAAACAGAAAATTAAATTAGAAAAATCCTTCATCTCGTTCATTTAACTTCTTTTTATTTCAATAAAAATAATATTTTGCCTTGGCTCATATTCTCAAGTCTTAAGGGTTGAATCTGGTAACTCATAACATTTTTTTTATTGCTTCTCTCAATTCCTTCTTCTCTTTCCGTACCATACTTTTAGCTTTTTGCGCTTTTTACAATGATTATTTTATTTTTTGTATTAAAACAATTGAACAGAATGAAGCAAAAAGAAAAAGTACGGGAAATTTATAGTCGACAATGAAAAAAGAAGAAGATATAAGTGAATTCTGTTAACACCAAAACCATACGAGAGTTTGAGAGATAGAGTAATGGAAATAAAACTACATTAAGTATCGCATTGTGTACATAATAATATCTGTTGTCAAACATTGTCCATTATATTACTCTATAGCTTAAATAAAAATGACATTCCCTGTATAGTAAACGATAACATTCAAAGCTCTTCCATGGTTCACATTAAAGACGGCAATTGAGATAGAGTGTTAAAGAATGTAGGAAACGAAGGAGAATGAAGGAAATTTATAATAATAAAGTGTATATATAGCTTCAAGAACTTGAAAAAAGTAAAAACCTTAAATAGGGTGAATGCTCGTTAGAGCTTTTTGAAGAGCAATGCCTCGTATTGTGGTCGGTTTGGCTGGATATATGATGAAAGTTTAAAATTTATTAATTTGATGTTTACTACATTACAATCATGTGCTGCACATTGTTGTTCACTTATGACGTCAAATATTTTACTTGTAAAGAAATTTTAAAGCTCTTTATAGAAAAAGAATGCCTATATAAAACTAAAAGTCTTCAAAGTTACTGATAATGCGCTCTATGCGTCAAAACATCAAAACTTTTTATCAAACAAAAGAATCAAGAAAAATTTTGTCAAGGAAATTCGATTATAATTTCAGAATAAAGATTGGAAGAATGAAACGAGAAAGATGGAAAGACTGACTGTATTGTTATCCCATAGGAAGTTTTATCACTTCATTAAAGATGAGTTGTGTAAGACGAAGATTGAATGACTTTCGAAGAATCTTAATTAATTATTTTTCTTATACACATATAATTAAATTTGGTTACATACAGCATAAATGGAAGAAAGAAATTCCATTACAAACAATATGAAGTGTACTTCCTGTTATTTTCCTTTTTATTTTTATCTATTTTTAATTAAATTCAAAAGTTTTTCTCCCTTCAACCTTCAATAAAAGAATACAGTCACGTTTTGGAGATAGATAATTCATTTCCATTTTTCCTTCATCTTCCATTTCCGCCCTTTTCAAAGACCTGATGTTGCTGTTCGTATTTTGTTTTACTGTTAATTCTTTGTGGGTTCACTTAAGGAACAAATTAAGAAAAAAGTGTTCTCGACAAAATTGTTTCGATTTCTTCTTTTCAAGAGGTGGTTCCAATCAATTAATGTTTAATGTATTTTGATTCACTTGACCAAATGCAGTAAAAAATTTCTTGACATAACGGTAGGAATTGAAGTTATGTTCCATTATGTTCAATAACTCTACTCGGTCACTGAAGCTTTATTCTTGCTTTGATTAGCCTGGATCCGCTTAATTCGACTACGCAAAGATACCTCAAAGTGGTGGATTCCATTCCTTCATCATAATAAGCTTAATTAAATGATAATCAAATTGTAGTTTTCCGACAAACGAAACAGTCATCAACTTCCATGATTAGCGCCAAAAATATTCATTACTAAGTTCCTTTTTAATGAAACTCCTTATTAACGTCTTCCTATATTTAGGTTTATTATTCATTCTTCCTTTTAACAATAAAATGCAAAGACTATAAAAATGAGTCAGTTGGTAACGAAAAAGTTTTACTTTTCCTCATTATGAGCACTAATATCATCGCTTTATTTCGCACGCTGAACTGCTTTATTTAAGTGCCACCATAAAGTTACTATAAAAGTTTGTGGTGAATGCTTTGTGTTTGCGAAGGAAGGAAACTGTTTGTTGGCTGTGTCGTACAAATCTCATTTTAACATTAATTATTATTTTACACTACAACTTGCTCTCACCTCTTGACATACCTTCTTATTCAACTTAATTATTTTGATTGTCACACATATAAAGCGAGAAGCACGACATTGCCTTATCACTTCCTTTTATGTCGTTTTGTATATACTGGAATTACAACATACTCGCTTCTTGTTTCCTTTTAGGATATTTTAAGTTCTTTGTTTCCATAATACGCTTAAATTATTTTACAAGATTCACAGAGAATCCGAAAATTAAAACTAAGTAAAAGCAGAAATGTTACGGAAACAAGCAGGATAAGTTGAAAACTTTTATAGCTTTGAGCTTTTTATTTTCATTTCCATTCCTGTATTGTTTGTTTCAAGTGTTTATTCACAGAAATGCAGATTCAATTAAAACATCTGCTTGTTGCTACAATTTGGGATATCTCATAGCTTTTTTTTTTGTCCCAGATTATTTCATGCTTGAAAGTGGATTTTAAGAAGAAATAATAAGGGTTCAACTATACACTCAGCAGATTAAAATCACAAATTTAAATTGCATTAACAAATCTATTAAGAGGTCGAATGCTGTTTTTTTGTCTAGGTTGGAAAATTAGATTATCTGATGAATCATATCCAAAAGATTCCCAAAAGCTTAATTTTGAGCGAATATGTTGATGATTCCAACGAAAAATCCAAAGATATTGAATTCGCTGAAATTAATTTATCTTTATTGGATTTTGAGGAAATCTTGAAACAACACTAAGACGTCAAAAACTTAAAATTTCTTTCTTATTTCACTATAAAGCTATGAATTTGATATCGTATTATTTTAAATCTTTACAATTAATTAAAAGCTATTGCTAATGCTTATATAAAAAGTTTTCGTATTTTTAATAACCAACAATGAAAATTCATTAGAAATATGAGCATTTTTTTGAAAGCTTTGCCTTTTCTTGCGAAAAACTATTTCTTATCTGAAAGTTGGAACTTAAGACTTTCGGTCTGAATATAAATAGCGATAATGCTTGATATTTTAATTAATTTGCTGATTTTTTAAACTTGGAAACTTTTTTGAATTTTGACTGCTTATTAAATTAAGGTACAGAGTGCTAGCGTTGTACAGGAACAACCAGAATTTTTTTTTAACTAAGCCCAAATCAAGTATCTTGGTTTTTGTATAGTTGCTAGAAAACCAAGTAAATTTGCCCTAGTAAATCTACTAAACATGAGCCAAAGAAGTTTTCAAGCAAAAATTAAAAAGTTCAGCATCAAGCACATGTCATGAAAAGCTGCTTATAATAAGTGTTGTGACATCATTTTCTTTCTATATTCAAACTCAATTTCTATCTTCTTTGACTATATTCTGTACTTAAAATAATTTTTGCTCGAAATGATAAAAAAAAAGTCCGTAAAGAATAAAATGCAACTTTTGTATGAAAACGCAAGAAAGTAATTTTTTCCATTCTTTATTTCCTCTATCGATGTTTGTACTTACTTAACTTTACTAATACATTCTATAACCTAACTTTGAATGTAGATGTTTGATATGAAGTCTTGTATGGAATTTGAGATAAAAATCTGTGAACAGTGAATCAATAATAAGCTATCGACACGTACTTTATGTGCATGTATATTTTTAGAAAGAATATCTTAATTAAATTTATTGATACATGCAAACACGATGCTATTTGATGGATTTAAGACATGAGAGCATTAATGAAAGAAAAATCGAAAGTGCCTTGAGTGCCTTCCTTCTGTTGTGATTTTTTATCGGTTCTATCTTTCATTTTGCTCTCTCTCAGTCTCTTTTAAATAGGAAATTTAAATTGTACAAGGGGGAAACATGCTTGAAATACTTGCTTTGATAATGTTAAATTGTCTATTGGGAGATGAAGATATCTCAGAAGTAATTTTGATCTATACATAAATTAATATAATATTTTATCTTTTATCAACATATAAATTGTTTTATCAATATAAAGTTTATTTAAAGACTTCTACGAATTTTAGGTACCTAACTGATTGTAGACTTGAATATTTATTTATTTTAGGAATATGATTACAAAATTGTTTTCAAGACTCATGAGTCTCTTGATATATTAGTTAAAGTACAATACAAATATTTTCTTTGAAAATAACTTCCTTTAGAAGTGTAGTAACAGGTTCTGCACGAGTCAATGTAAGGCAAGGGTCGTCTAAACTCTGATGATTTAACTCTTAAATGTTTACTTTATCTATTTACGGAATTATGAAGTTTGAAGCTTAACCTCAGTCGCTAATTTACTGATTGTTACTCTTCATGAAGTCATGCTTGCAACCCTGACTTCCTCTTTTTTTTCGCAAGAGAATTTTTTCATCTTTTAAATTAACTTGTTAGGAATTCCATCTTTTCAACGTAAGCATCAGCTATGCAGCATATTTTCCCCTTTGACAATTCTACAAATGTCATGAAGAAATGTCTAAATTGAAATTTTCGAATTAAGAAACGTTTGAAACATACTTAGAACTCAAATTACATGCGCACATGAAATCAAATTATATAAAAATATGGAAATAAAATATTAATAGATCCATTTACAATGTAATCATACGTACTCATTTGGGGATTCATGAATAGGAAGCTATATTGATTCGAGATGCTGTAAGGTTTAATACGCAGGATGAAAAACATTTTTTGGGGATTCAATGATCAGTGAAATGAAATAATTGATTAGGGAATAAATCTGTTAAGGGTAATATTGAATATGTGATGTGATGTTTTAATATCCTAATTGAATTAAATTCATTGAGAAAATTATATTTATTCGGATTAATTAAGTATGAAACCTAGATTCAACATCCATAAAATATTTATTTTTTTTAATAACCATTTCTAGGTCAATTCTGATCAATTAATTGATTTATAATTTGTCTAATTGGGCATCTCCTGCTAAGAATGTAACAAAACAGCCACAGAAAATACTAGAATTTTTCTAAAGAAGAATGTGAGTTGATCCTGCAAGTGAAATATTATATTTCAAGAATGCATCATGAAGCGTCGTGAACTTTCAAGTACTTATATGTAAGGTCAATTGATTGCATGTTGCAGACGCGTCAATAGACAATCTTCAAATAATTGTGTCTCGTTAGGATTGGAGAAATAAATACAATTGAAAATCGATTGAAGAGAAATAAATAATTGTGAACCTTGGGGTCGTTCAATGACGTCAGCAGAAGCGCAGTAATGCAGAGACTTTTTATACCAAGACTAAGAAAGGTGTTGAATACTTTATAAAATTGCTACACCACTAAATGTTTGTCATTAAATTGTCACAGCTCCAGAACCTCTTCTTCTTATCAATTGAAGGGAATCGGATTGAGGCTTCAGCCTACGATCATTAAAATAGCTGTTTATAATGTGCAGAATTTAGGAACCAGTCATTCAAAAAATATTAATGTTAAAAAAAATTCAAATATTGTTAAAAGTATCAATACTCCGACTTTTATGCTTGACACCACTGCTTTTCATAAAATATATATTACGTCATCAGTGAATGGCCCGTTTTTAAGGTTCTGAATTATTCTTCACATAATGATCAGCGATACCTCAACAAAGCATTGCTGCAAATTTATACGATGAATAAATTTTAAAGATTTATATTGATTTCATTTAAATATTGAAGATTTTCCATCTAGCAAATGGATTTACTCCATTCTCATTATGTGCATTTAAAATGATTCGAAAATTTTCAAAAGGAATTCTTCATGAGATATTGAGTCATCGTTTATCGTTTCATATGTAAACGTAACACATAAATGTATGTATATTAAAATTCATCACAGACTTTCATCTCAAATTCTTCACTGATCTCTTTTTCTTCATCATAAAGTATATTTGAAGAATATAAATAGATATTTTCAACTTTCTGTATACATACTTCCATTGATATAATATCTATACGTATACAAGTATATTAATATAAGCACAATTTAGTATCCTTTTTCTGGCAAAAGAGTAACTTTTCCCCTTTCTTCTTCTCTCCTTCTGTTTCTTCTCATGTGTGTCTTTTTGCTTATTTACACACATCTCAATTACAGAACAAAGTCAAATCAAAGATGGATGAAATTGCGAACGACTGTTCAAATTTCATCAGCTATAGCACCAAAGAAACCGCCACTCAAACGTGAAGATTCCTTTTTGAAACGATTCTCAACGAGACAAATACAGGAACCTCAAGTAGGTCTTTTTCATTCTTATCCTTCAACACACATTCAATTTGCCATATTAGTAGTGCTGTTGCTGTATATATTTATTTTAAATAATATTATTTTCACTCTTTACTCAATTATTTCTTCTAATTCTTATCTCAAATTCACATTGACTTGCATGAACATAACAATAACATTTAGGAAACAGTTGAAGACACTGGCTCCGAAGGACCCGATATCGAAAAACTTACTCGACGACGAAAACGATTCATGAAACCACCACGAAGCGTGGTAAATCCGGATGAAAATTTTTACTTCTATTGGCTGATGGTGCTTACATTATGTGTCTTATACAATTTATGGACATTGATTGTTCGACAAAGCTTTCCTGAACTTCAGGTAAGAGTATAAAGTTTGAATTAAGTGAATGTAAGATTGCCTTCGATAGGAGCAATCACAATCAATTTGGAGATACATTTTTATTACATTGTATAGGCAGACACAATGAGATTTCTCCATTTGACCTATCATGTGCTACATTATACATTTACCACTTGAGCGTGTGTTGGGATTTCATTAGAAATTTACCTCACTTGGGTTTCATGAAATTTATATTGTTGGATATGTAATAGATAACATTCAATGTTGGACTTTGTGTATGCTGCGTATGTACTTTATTGGATAGATTTTGCAATAATTTGAATGTTTTATGAAGGTTCAAATCGATGAGAATTGCCATGATGGATTTGGTTGATCATTGGGCCACATCTAGTAAACATCATAATATGGAATCAAGTATATTTCTTTTGGGAATTTATTGTCGAGTTATTGTTTCAATTTGCTGAATCGATATAAATTTATGCAAATAACCACATCTATAATTAAGCTGTAAACTCATTGAACCATATTGACACAAACATTCATACACCTTTCTGACACCGCATCATGAAATTTATATGGCAATAACTGTCCTATTATCTACCTCACTCTCCTTTTTAATTTATTTGTAAAATAGGAAAAAGCGTCAGAGTTTTGGATAGTCTGTGACAGCTTGACTGATGTTGTATTTGTAGTGGATGTTGTGGTGCAACTGAGAACGGGTTATTTAGAGCAAGGATTAATGGTGCGTATGGTAGCAATAACTATGATTGATTATCATTTGAATTATTTATTAACTTATCCATTATTAATCTTCAATCCTTTCCAATTCTTTTCGTGAGGAACCACTCAAATAAAAATTTATAACTTTCTTTGCTCATTTCGCAGGTTTATGATAGCAAAAAATTGGCATCTCATTATTTACGCTCAAAAAAGTTTTTATTGGATTTAATGTCATTAATACCATTAGATATTTTGCAATTTCGTTTTGGACCAAATCCGTTGTTACGATTTCCTCGTTTTCTAAAGGTAAGTTTGAGGGGAAAACAACATGATGGAAACATTTTGTTTGTTCTAAAACGTATAAACTTTATCTTAGGATTGTTTATATATACATTTACTAAGCAATTAAGTTTTTAAATCAGGGCTTGTATCTAGCTTCCTAGCTTCTTTAAAAATAAAAAACGAAGTATCCCACTTTGGACGTATGACAATAATAGGGACTCGAGTAGCCTTAGAAACGACCCAAGATTCAAATGCCAAGTATGTCATAATTAACCGACCATTTATGCTGTTGCAATTTGACACCAGCAAAGATGAATAAAATAACGTAATTTTCTTTATAATGCTTATTAGACGTATGGAACAGACAACAATACTATACCGCATAATATGCCAATATCTCTAACATGTTATTTTCCATTGCAGGTTTATAGAGTTGTTAAATATTATTATATTGTTGAAAGTAGAACTGTGTGGCCCAATTTGTGGCGAGTGGTAAATTTGATACATATTCTACTCATCCTCGCACATTGGTTTGGATGCTTTTATTATCTCCTATCGGAAGCAGAAGGCTTTCAGGTAATTTTTTTCTTTCTACACAATCAATTCAACAGCACATGTTTGAACAACTTTTTTTTTCTGTGAGGGAACGAGTGAAAAAGTTGGTCGTGCAGATAACGTTAATGAATGCTATTAGAATATGAAGAACAGAAAATACTTTTTTTGGCTACAAAATTGATAGGTCGATATTGGATTATTAAAGTAAAATTGTTTTAGCCTGAGGGTGACCAAGAGTATACATACCATATCTGTTACATGTAGTTTTTGATGCAAACATTGATGTTAAACGATGCTCGTACTAAACATTAGCATATTAACTGAATTATTGAGTGCATTATTGTATCCTGTCAAGAGTTTACTTTAACGATGATTGGGTGCGTTACTAAGCTTTGTAATTGATAATTAAAAACTATCGAATAATTCAGTTATAGCTTCAGCCAGCAACAGCATCAATCAAATAATCATGTCAATACTTTTCTTCTCTTAGGGAGACTGGGTTTATCCTTTCCGTCCAGGTGATTATGCTACGTTAACTAGAAAGTATTTAGGCAGTTTATATTGGTCAACATTGACTCTCACTACAATTGGTGATCTTCCAACACCGGAAACAAATGCTGAGTGAGTACAAAAATAAATTTATTCTTACATAATTTTCATGATGATGAATATAAAGACATTATTGCAAATTTATTCATAGATCAAAATTAAATTTCGATCCTTTTATGTTGCCAAAAATTATATTATGTATACCTTTTCTATTCTGATATGAATATTGTGAAAGACTTAAAGCTTTCTGAAATGGATTAATCTTATTGAGACAGAGTGTGAAACTCAATTGAAAATTGATTAAATTTTGTGGATGTGACATTGAGTTATTTATAATTTATAAATATGGACGTCTCAGCTATAATGAAATATTAAACTAAAATCTAGCTGGAAGTTTTGTAGAATTTTTTGTAATAATTAAAAAGCCGAGATATTATTATTATTATTATTATTATTATTATTATTTATTCAATTAGTTTGAGAAGCCAGAGCATCGTCATGGCTTCATTACATTAAAAACAATGGTACATTTAGTTCCTCTTATCGAGGACACAATTGTGAGTAACAGCGTTTTATAAAAACTTTAAAGTGCTCACAAAGAAGTTCATTACATTTTAACGATATTGACTAATTCATGATGTTTTTACAAATTGCAAAAGCTCGACTATGGCTCCATCAAGTTTCCATTTGATTTAAAAAAAACTATTGAAGCTAATTCTTAATTTTCTTTACTGTTCTCTATTTTTTGAACCAAAAAACTCCAAAAATGGCTACATTTTGTCCTAAAATTAATAGATTCAAGATCCTTGCATCTAGCAGCACACCCTGGCTCTCAAAATGTATGCTTGATTGGAAACTTTATATATGAACATTTAATCGATTTTGAACAATGCATTGTTGATACAGGGAGGAAGGCTATTACATACTTTGTAATAAAATTTATTTGATGCAGCTTTAAATCACCCACAGACCAGAATCCCTACGTGTTTTTCTTAAACACCACATATATTTTCAAGTGGTGGATAAAACCACACGTGTGTTTTTATTCACCACGTGCAATTGCAATTTTTTCATGGTTGAAACACGTGCAAGGATAAAAATCCGTTAAATGTTAAATTCAAAAATAAATTATGCGGGAAAGTATGAAAATCAATTTTAAGAAATTTGATATTTTTATTGCATTCATCTTAAATGTGGTTTTTAAAACTTATACAGACAGATTGAATTTTTGTCTATACAGACAGTTTTGTCCTTACGAGCAGTTGATTTCCGTAACTCTGCACAGTTGCATGACCCAGTGTATATCAATGCAAAGTACCCAGTCACAATCATGAAAAAAAATTTATTTAAATACAAAAATTAAGATTGCTTTTTTTAAAAAATGAGAATAAACCTCAATTTTTTTCACTATTTTTTAAACTTCAAAAAACATTACACTGATCTCCAAAACGCCCACAGACAAAATTTTCGGGTGATATGAAACACATGTGTTTTCACAAAAACCACTTGCAATTGTACGTGGTGAATAAAAAACACACGTGTGATTTTGTCCACCACTTCGAAATATATGTAGTGTTTTCAAAAAAACTGTTTTCCAGAAGCACCACATAGATTTTCAAGTGTTGGTTTTGGAAACCCAAGTTTTTCGTATGTGGGGGCTTCGGGGAAATTTGCGTGGGGATTCTGGTCTGTGGGTGATTTAAAGCTGCATCAATTTGTTTATAAATATTAGGCTTTATTTTTTTTTTGATTATCTCACATTTCATTGGTCTTTTAATTTTTCTTCCTTTTTTCGGTTATATCCATGTCTGTTGGAAAAGGGATAAAAACCAGCATAGAATTTATAAATAATTTTTTTAGTCTTGCATATAATCTGAATCAATATTTAAATAAATTATGTACAATCCATATATTCACAAGAGTCTTTGTCTATCTGTCTATATATGCGTATACTTACATATTATCTACGATAAGTTTACATATTATATCCACAAGAATAAAAAAAAATGCAAAGCAAAACGTTTCCTTTTCTTTCCACCATACCACAACCACAACCACCAATATATACACCAAACCGTATGCTTATGAAAATAACCTTCGATGTAGACCTTCCGATTCGGCGGACGGCCCAATTTCAATCCCAAAGCGTGGTCTCAAATCACGTCTTCTACAATTCAACTCGAATTACGGGTAGGAATATTTTATGTGATTTTAAGTAGCTAAATCGCTGACTATATACTTTCGAATATATTTTATATCGGAGCAGAAAGAAATAACTTTTTGTGTCAATAAAATGACACAGCATAGAGCAAAAAAAAAGAGGCAAAGAAAAGGAAAAATTAGGTGACAAATGGGTCATGGGATGGTTGAGGATGAAGGGTGTTTCTTTTATTATATCGATCAAGAAGAAATATTTGGAGGCTGCCCGTCGATAATCCGGTATTCATGGCGTTTTTATGTTGTCATTTCCTTCACTTCCAATGCTCATTTTTTTTCTTGTTTACATAACTCGACTTTAATAATCTAGTGTGAGCATCATGTCCTGACATACGTTGATAAAGGTCTATGTCTATTTTTATTCATAATTCTCTTTTCATGTGTATGCGAATATTTGTGTATTCTTTCGTCTAGCTATCTGCTAAGAACAGCAAATATAAATCAAACTCAAAAATACTATTTAGGAAGATAGAAATGCGCAGTAAATAAACAAATTACTTGACATAAAATTTTATGCGAATTTATGTGTGTTCTTATGTAAACAACATAAGGATACCAGAGTTTCTTGACACCTTCATGCCATGCATGTCTGCAAAATATCTTTTTTAGCATGTTACAAATGAAAAATATTCATTTTGTTATTATTAACTTAATCATGTGTACACAGCAAATTGTTTGCGTACTCCCACATTTTATTTACCGTTCTATAATCAAAGTTTTCGAATTGTATTTTTTTCTGACAGCCTTCAATATTTCGATTTTACAGCAGCATATGATACAAAAATGTTGCAAAAATTTAATTTGGGATTTGGAATATGAATTTTTTAAATTTTATTTATTCTTTCATTTACTTTGTTGGTCTTTGCATACAAAATTTAAATTGCAGTTAATTGAATTGCGATGAATTTTAAAAAGTAAAGAATATGATATGATAGCAATAATATTGTTTTGTCCATAAATTCCATGATTTGAAGTGTGATGAATAATGTTTGATAATTTCTGCAAGGCGGTGAGTTTTTGATGGCTTTAGTGAGAATCAGACTCAGTACAAAATGTTCTGATAAGATTGTTGTTATCAATCCTTCCAATTCTAGAAACAGATATTTGAATTAAAATGATTGAATCTCTTTGGATGTAAAGAAGTCGTTCCTTTACATGAAACGTTTCTAACAATTCAAGATAATGAAATTTAAGCAACTCAGGGATTTAGCTGGATGAGGGTTTTTTTCGAATTCCTTCAGTTTGTTGGGATTTTTGAGGGAAAAATCCTAAAGCACCTTAAAGTTTCCACAAACCAAATACCCCATAAACATTCTGGAAATACCGTTATAATGTTTGGAAAGGGTATTGAGTTATTGATCGGTTCAAAGCTGAAAAGTTCATATTTCTGCATATTTCTCATTTTAGAATTTAAGACATAATAGAAAGAATGAATCAGGAACTTATCCAAAAAGAATTTTGAAGCTAAAAATCCCCCGAAAAAACAGTTTCTTAATAACTGAAGAGAATCCAGCTCAGGAATTAAAACCGCACATGGAATACGGCTGGTAGGATTTCTCGAATTTTTTCGTTTCATATGGGTTGATTATCACTGTTCTAGAATATCATTTTAGACTTTAACGTTGCTAACATTCAGTTGTGTCTTAATTAAAGTCATTTTTACCGTGATCAATTGTTTTTAACCCCTCAAAAGCTACTTTTGTATTTTTTCCATACTCTATAGTTTTTCAATGTTGACAACAAAGTGGTGGAAATCCCATGCACGTCAAAATATTTTAATGAAAAGAACAAGCCATGCAAATAAGAGTCCAGAGCATTCAATTAAAATAACTTGATTATGAAGTTTGAAATCAAAAAACATAATAGAAATCTGATGTGCTGCAAACTCTCAACAATATCTCATTCAATTTCAATGGCTATTCTAAATAAAAAATAGAACTTCTACATTCAAAAAAGTTGTGGAATTTTATTAAAATTTTCAATAAACCATTTTCAAATCACTTCAACTTCTGGCATTCAAAATACAACAAAATAAATTATTGCCTTCAATTCAGGCATAAAATATGCAATAGCGATATAAAATATATTCGAAAACTTTGATTGCTAAAAATATGACGAGAACGGAAAACTTTTTCCAGCATCACAATGCTGTAGAAATATTTTCACTTTTCGTCACTTTCCATCTTTTCCTCACCACATTTTTAAATCAACAAACAGAAATTATATTCATTAGAAATTGAAATTGTTTAATTAAAATTGAGATATTTTTGTGTCTGTATCTGTGCTATAACTGTGAATAATTTTCCTAATTGTATTTCCTAGAAACATTTTGTTTGAAGTATTTGATAGCTTCACCAAATAAAAAGTTTAAATTCAAAAAATTCAATTTCTAGGGAATATAAAAATATTGTAATGACCTGGTTTATGTAACATTTGGCTCGGAACCAATGTTAAGAAAAGTTGTTTGTTATTCATTTCATGCTATGACAATGAGATTACACAAAATTTTCTATCAGTTCATGCGATACAATTTAATTTTGGGGTGATGAGAAAATTAAATGAGAAAATATTTATGGACGTCTTTAAACGGATGATTTATTCAGGGGGTCAAATTCACAAGATTTTCATTTGAATTCCTTGACGATATTCAGTTCATGAATATTTTTGGGATGTAATGATGGGAAAATATTTAAATGGATTTATTGCAATGCATTTTTAAAAAGTTGAAATTATAATTTGCAAAATATTGTTGTGGCTCTTGGGAGACTTCTTGAAATTCTAAAACGTAGAGTAGTTTCCTGTGAACTCAATGGGGTTAATTAAAGACTAAACAGATGATGTCAATGTAAAAGTTATAAATTTTAAACTTTACAGAAGAGATTTTTGAAGTTTCAACCATTTTTGATCTTATTCTGTCATACTTGACAAAACTTGATCAGTTCAGCACCCTCGATTTTTACTCGGTTTGTAACATTTCATCTACTTGTGGCTTCAATAACTCAATTCCCACATAATCAATAAAAAGTACAAAATTCAAAAGATTCTAAACTTAAAATCTATTCAAATATTTTTTTCATCATAAGAGATGTTCTTCAAACTTCACATCCAAATCCAATCCAAATAAATTTCATCGACTCTTAAACTCAAAGCTCTTATCCTTTCCAGCAAGAAGTGCTCAATCAAATTTAAGTAAACTTTATCCAAAATAGAAAGTCAGGATTATAGAGAGTAGAATAACAACAACTTAATCATAAAACATCTTCAAAACCAATAAATATCGAATAAAATGGTAACAAAAATAACTGACAAGTGTAAGATGTGAAGTGAAAGCTTCTTGAAAGCTCTTAAGCTTCTTGCATATTTAATGCATTTTGAATAATCCGAGGGACTAAAATTTATTGCAAGAAAATTTCTATTAGCATAGCATGAATGATGCAAACATACAATTTAACATTGAATCAATCTGAAATATACATGAACAACAGGAAATGAACAAAAGTTAATTTTTCATCTGAATAGACAATAAAAAAAAACATCGCAAATTAAAATTTACTTTTGTTTCTGATTCTGTGTGTCTGTTTTATCCAGGTATATTTTTACTATTGTGAGTTACCTCATCGGTGTATTCATTTTTGCCACAATTGTGGGACAAGTCGGAAATGTGATAACAAATCGTAACGCAAATCGATTGGAATTCGAACGTCTATTAGATGGTGCAAAAACTTATATGAGACATCATAAAGTGCCGGGTGGAATGAAGCGTAGAGTATTACGATGGTATGACTATAGTTGGTCACGTGGACGAATTCAAGGTGGAGGTGATATAAATACAGCCTTGGGTCTTCTGCCTGATAAATTAAAGACAGAATTGGCGCTTCATGTCAATCTCAGTGTACTAAAGAAGGTGAGTTGTGGCGTAAAATAAGTAAGACAAGCATGTACGAGAGAGGTTGGAGAATAAAATGTGCTGTTATTGTTATTCGAGTCATTACACATTGATCTTTGTATTTGTAGTATTCACATTTTCATTCTCCTCCTTAAATTGACCTATATTGTTATAAGGTATGATCCTGTCAGTAACCTTGACTGCTTGTCAGTGATAAGAAAAGAAAAAGATAAAAACAATAAAAACAACTTATTATCATCATAACTTATCATAGCCTAAGGAGGTCTTAATTAAACTCGAGGGGAAGACAACATTATGGGAAAAAATTTATGGATTTCCCATCAAAATTTTCCTTCAATGTTGTCTCCCCCTCGATTAAAATGGGATGAATCTAAACACGGGTGTGGTACTGATGAAATGATCAAAAATGATCAAAATGTAATTCTTCAGTTCCACACCCTTGAATCTAAAGAATGGCATCAAATTATAGGTTTTAGGGGCAAAAATCACACCCATTCTCTAAATTTTCAATACAAAAAAATACCACGAATAATCCCAGAAACATTGAAGCTTTTTAAAATACAGCATAGACTGAAAATGCGTTGTATACAAATTTTTCATTCAACTTAACCTTCTCTTGTATAATTTTATTTTCTCTTTCCTCCCTTTATTTTATGGAATAACACATAAAGGTTACAATTTTTCAAGAATGTCAGCCTGAATTCCTACACGATCTCGTGCTTAAGATGAAGGCGTACATCTTCACACCAGGCGACTCAATTTGTCGAAAAGGCGAAGTAGCTAGAGAAATGTTTATAATAGCTGATGGCATATTAGAAGTGCTGAGTGAAACGGGTAGAGTTTTAACGACAATGAAGGCTGGTGATTTTTTTGGGGAAATTGGCATCCTTAATCTTGATGGATTGAATAAGTAAGATTAATTAAATTGTCATACATATGGAAGTATTCTTACATAATTGAAATTAATTATTGTGTGTACTATTAGACGTACGGCCGACGTTAGATCTGTAGGATATTCCGAACTGTTTTCATTGTCACGTGAAGACGTATTAGCAGCTATGAAGGATTATCCCGAAGCCCAAGAAATTCTCCAAACACTAGGTCGTAAGCGTTTAATGGAAGTAAGATGTATAAATAAGAAGCATGCAGCAAAAAGAGACGCAGCATTGGCAGAAGCTCATGCTGCACAGCAATTACAAGGCGATAGCAGTGACAATAGTGCTTCAAAGCGAATCTTAGATAAAGTTAAGAACGACGTCAAAGGATTAAAAAATGTTTTGAAAAAATCTAGGTGAGTAAGCATAAAAATAATCCTTGGATATGACAACAATGTAACAAATCCTTTTATTTTATTCTTTTTTTGCATCATTTGCATGATATAGAGGAAATACTCATCGTAAAAGTGATGAATCGATAGAGCTTCAACCGTTACAGGGTCAAAAATCATCGAAGGGAGTTTTGCGACGAATGCAAAGGGTAAAGTCTGACGACTTAAATGCTGATGATGAAGAATGTCCAAAAGAAGACAAAAAGGAGGAAAAAATTTCTAGTCCTATTGGTGCTGGTCTACCTTTGTTGCAACGATTACGTCTTTTAAAGGAAAAACAAGTCAGATTCGATGCCTTCTTTAATGTGCTGTTTTATGAGTTTTTATTTTATTACTTCTTAATTGTTTATCCATTATGATTTTTGCTTTTTTTCCTTCCTTAATTAATGAATTTTTATACCAGATTATTATTTCTATGTTCGATCTTTTTCTCATGGCAAGTCGAGAAAGTTGGAAAATGTTTTCTCTCCTGCATTTTAACTAGTTTTATTGCTCGTTTAAATTGTTGGACTTAAAATGATTGAGGAAATTGAGGAAAATCTCAAAAGATTTTTAACTAAAGTAATTAAATGGCGAAATATAAATGAAAAAATCTTTATTAGTAAAGTTGTTAAAGTTTTCCTGAATTTCTGGTTTGTTGAGAATTTAAGACAAGATACAACGTCCATTCAATTTTAATAACGCAATAGAATCAAGCAACAAAATCGATCCAATAAATAGCAAATAGCTGGTCAGAGAAAAACCTAATATGGTCAAAATTTAAGCAACCAGCTTAAATTAAGGACATGTGCAATTTTGAACACGTTTTTACAATTAGGCACAATTGCTTGTGTACAGAAGTTAAGCATTCAAACTAGAAAACAAGACTTATAATAATGAGTGAGATCCGACTGATGTCATTTCATTTTAAGCTTACATAAACTTTATAACTTTAAAACATTTATGTAATCTTGAAAATTAAAAATATGGACACTTTAGATCAATTATTTACTAAGAACCTAATTGATACTTTAATGCTTGCCTTTAATTTTTAAAACTTTGTTGTTTATGTTTTAATACTAATGCTTGGTATGCTGAATACCTTGTATTCCAATAAAGTTTACTCCATCAAAAACGCTTTGAATTTTCGTACTTAAATGCACAATGAGTTTTTCAAGGTTTCGTCAAAAGACAAACATGAGAAAAATTTATAAAACTTTGTTTTTTATTCCTTTTTTGTAATTAATTATATTTTTTCGCTTAATCTCATTAATCTTACGCCATTTTTCAATAATTTATTTCTTCTTTTTATATACTTTCTCCTGCATCTTTTCTTTCTTCTATCGTCTTCTTCTATTGCCATTAAAAAAAAATTCCTCCCTTACTTTTTTTCATATACTTTACAACATATAATATGTACATATATTGAATGGCTTCATAAAACAAAAAAAAATCCATTTAAATGCTTATATCGCTCGCTTATTGTTAAATTCATGCATTAAAATTAAAAATACAAATATATAGCTTACGCAATCAGGATACGCAGTGAATAAATACAAATTGATTCACAAATATGTATGATGGATGTTCTTTTTATCCTCTCTATAAAACACCCCACATACAACTACCTCTTTAGTCGCTTTCAATCTATCTCTATTTTTATGTGTGCATCACTGAAAAAATTTTAATTTTAGGCAAAAAGGAACAAAAGTTCTGCAAAAAAAAAAATAGATAAAAATTTGATTTGAATGATCCTATGCAATTCCTGCATTGCTGAAAGATATTTGTTTTTAAAAACTATTCGCTCAAATTAGCACTAAAATGGACACACAATTCACATGCATTTAATTTTATTTCAATATTAATATTTTATGTATAAATCAAAAATAAATTAATATACATAAAATCTAGTTTAGTTTAGTTCCGTTAAAAAAAGTACACAAAATAGTTTTCTTTCTCAATTTCATCAATATTATTATACATGACTAGTGTGTGATAGATTAAACAACAAAATTTTTTCGTTTCTTATTATTTTTTTATTGAACGTGTTGCACGTGTATGTAGGATCGCGAAGAGCGAGCCGTAAAGCACTCCACACCTGTTGTTTCACCTCCACACACTCATGTTTCATCTACCATATCACCACAGGCTTCTATACAAGAAGAACCAGAACCAGAGATTATTGGCGCTGGATTACCTCTGTTTCATCGATTGAAGCTGCTCAAGGCGAAAGAGGAGAAGGAACGACATCCAAAAGAGAGTCAATCGAGGGTAAGATGATGATAAAAGAACAAATCAGTCGTCTGAAAATTCAAATCTTACTGTAAACATATTTTTGGAATATGAATGCGCATATTCATGCTCCTTTAAATTGGGGTCAGTAAATTTATGTTCATTTTGATATTTAATGTAAAGCCCAAAAGCTTAAAGACAAATCAGAAGGTAAACATTTCTTGGAAGAAACAATTTGTGAAATCTCTTAAACTTGCTTATTTCAGTGCTTCTCACATTTTTTGAGATCGATCTAAATTGATAGCTTCGATTTCAAAGACTTAGATCAAATATAGACCTTAATTAAATCTTGTCAAACTTGGGACTTGTCACATAGATTGAGAACTTCTGGTGTTTGCAGTCACTAATCGGTGAAGTCCAATAAAGAGAAACTAGGCCTAAGAAGGAGGAGGCTTATTTTTCATAGACGTCATTAAAGAGGTCGTTTCAATTATTACGTAACGTCCTTAGGTACGAGATGAGGTTGTCTGATAATTTATGACAGTCCAAACAAAATAATATTCTCTTCATAGAAATTTTGATAGCAAGTTCAATACCTTTTTTCTGAATTACTTATTAAGTAGACCTGCATCTAAAAATGATCTCCGAAGCTATAAATAAAGTAGAGATTTTCTCAAAATCAGCATATTTTTTACACATCACTAGATTTTCAATTTTCATGATTTAACCTCGCCTTAAAGCAGGTCAAAAATTAATGTTCTTTTTTTTAGATTTCATTAAAATATTTGCATAAACAAAAATTTCTATTTAAGCTCTTGGCAATATGCGCAAGATGTAATAAAGGGCAATGATAATGATGAACAAAGATTGATTAATTGTCGGGGTTTTAAATTGACCAATAATTTCTAATTACCGATATTTCTTGTTCCTTTTTCTTCTTCCTAAAATTATGATTTATCGTGGAAAAATAGCTGAGTGTATCATCACAAGGGTCGTTTTCGAGAAAAGCTAGTTTGAGCCCAACATCACCAACATTCAAAAAAGATACCGCAACGACATGCGAATTAGGCATATCGAGGACGAACTTAAAAGTTTCATTTAAGGATCGTTTAAAAAATTTGCAAAAAGAAGCGACAAAGGAAGAGACGCCTGGGAGTAATGAGTCGTTGGAAGTAAAACAGCATTTACTACCGTCAACATCAGCATCCTTATCATCATCAACTACGACAGCAAAACCAAAGAAGCCATCAACAACAAAGCAATTAAGAGAGAAAATAAGAGCGTTTGGTCATATACCAAAAGATGAATTGACACCTTGGTCGAAGCTTAAATTAGCAACGGTTGTTAGTTTAGGTGGCAGTTATACTTCATTAAGTAATAACATAACTGAAGACTCACCAAAGTTGTCTAAAACATCAATAAAATCTTCCATGCCTATTAATTTAAATAGTATTACAAATAAGTTAGATGAACCCTCCATTCCATCATATAAAGAGTTCAACGTTAAAGTTGAACAAAAGACAAGCGTTAGTGATAGCGAATTGAAAAGTGATACCACAGACACAATCAAACGCAAACCGAAACCATTTAAATTAAGTGAACCAAAAAATTATCGGTCTGTGGATGATTTATCACCAGAATATAGTGGCCTTCCATTTGTGAAAAAGCTTAAAATTTTAAATGAACGTCAAAAGCTTGCTGAACTTGAATCCGTAATTCAGACAACCCGAAGTATGAGCCTTGATTGTACCGATTCCAGTAATTCGAGTGAAATGATTGAAATTCTAACCCGAAGTCATAGTGAAGCATCTTGCATGATACGTCCAAAGTTAAATGCAACCCTAAGTTCTCCTATTGCATCAGTTGCACCACTACCGAATGCGCATCATCCCTTCGTTAAATCCCCATTAAGTCCCGAATCAAACGAAACATTAGAACGAAAGCAATTGAAGAGCATTTTAAAGAAATTATCAGAAGATCGTTTATCGCAGAATGTATCAACATTAAAATGTGGCGATCGACAGGATATGAAGAAGTTGATGAGAGCTCAAACACTTGAGGGGTATGTGGCACGTCGTACCAAATTTACGAAAAGCGTAACCTTCAATCATACTCTTTCCAGTCCTCCCAGTACGACACTGACCGAAGAACCTGATGAATCATTGAAATTATCCCCGCTCAACTCCTCATATCCTCCCGTCTTTTCACCCTCACCCAATCAAGCATTTAAATCCATTACGACAAACGCACAAGATCTTTCAACTCATACGGTTGATAATTCTCATCATCTTCATCAGCATCATCATCAAATTCATCATCAAAATATTATAAATACGAATATCAATATATCCGACATGAGTACAAATAGATTTAACTACAGAGATGATGCTGCTATTGTTGTGCAACCGCCACCTTTCGATGAATCAGTCGTACAAAAAATTGAAAATATTCCACCGACATCAACACAAATACCACCACCCTCCCGACAAGAACTTTATAATCATTATAATCTCAGTAATAATATTAATAATATCAACACAAATTCAACAATGGGAACATTAGCGTTTCTTTCAGATAACTATGCCGAGAGGAAACTCATTAAAGGTATTTTAATTTTGACGCACAAACTAATTAGATTAGACAAGCCTCGTAAATTTTGTTCGTTTGAAGCGGTTTAGGGTAATTCCATGAGTAATGAGAACTGTGAAAAAGCACTATACAATATTTCTCTACTTGTAAAAATTCAAATTTCCCAAAACCGTTATAATTTCTTAACGTTTTGTTGTTTTTACAAGTGAATTAGCCGCAATATCATCAAAGAGAGATGGTACAAATATATATGATCTTTAATGTTTTGAAACTTTAGTTACTTGCTCCATTAAATCAAATAAATCTAATAAACTTACAAGTAAAATCAAGAAAGTCTAACGGTTTTTGTGAATTTGAAATTTTTTCAGTGTTCTGTTTTGCAAAAATCGGTCAAAAATTGACCGATTAATGCTAGTTTTTTGGTTTTTCTTCTTAATTACAGCATTAAGGAATGCAAATTATACATAAAACAAAAGCCTGGCTAATATCTAATATGTTAAAAGTAACTTTGGAACAAAGAAGTGTGTATTTAAGTAAATATTAGGAAATGTTTAGAAAACGATTTTTCGAAAACTTGACCGATTAATTTTACTTTTTTTAAAAAAATAAAAATTAGACATATTTCTGATGTGAAATTCTCACATATGGAGATAAATATTGTGTTAATAAACATAATAAAGTTACAATTTGGAGTACAAAGTCCCTAGTTAAGGAAATATTTTTGAAAAATTGGTGCAACAAAATTTTTTTCACTCATGGAATTACCCTTTAGTAATCTATTCACAACATATACACCACAACCATAAATTATCAATCTCTGTGCCTACACCAAAAAATAATTAATTGATCAATTCACCCAATCACTTTTGGGGCCGTTCACTTATCACGTTAAGCAAAAAAACGACATTTTTCACCCCCCTCCCCCCCTTGTTACAATATGTTACAACTCACAACCCCCCCCCCCCCCCCCTTGAACATTCATAATTTATTTTATCATTAAAAAGGTGAAAAATTTGAAAAAAATGTTTTTGGTATGAATTTGTAAACAAATTTTTTTCGTGAACTTTTTTTCAACGACAGACGACAGTTATAACGTTACATACTTCTTGACCCCCCCCCCCCTATGATACATTTTGTTACAATTTTTCAAACCCCCCTCCCCCCTAAAATGCGAACGTAATAAGTGAACGGCCCCTTTGTAAACCCTTTTTTACTGCATTATTATAAAAAAAAAATCAATATTTTTTATTATTACTTTTTGTGCTTTTTACTTTATTTTTTAATTCCTTTCGGCCAATTTCATTAAAGTAAGTAATTCACGATTTTGGATTGTTCATTTCAGATTTAATAGGATTGAGTAATGGATAAATAGCTTTGTCTTGCATTCAATTTCCATTGAGTCTATAGTCTTTAGATATAAAACTGTTCAAAAGAATAAGTTTAAATTTTGATAAAAATCCAAACATTTTAGATCTTATAAAATAATCTAATATTTTAAGAATGAACTTTCCACTTTGACTTTTTATTTAAGCTTAAAACAAAAGTTCAAAACACATAGTTTTCTACTATTGATAGCTAGTTATCTCAACTTGGTTCTATCTTATCATCCGAAATTCAAGAATTATCCTTTTTAATGAAATCTGCCATTTAATTTCATTATTTTTTCATGATAACTCAGAATCCTCTGCAATGCTGCAATGCATTTTATGTACATTACATAAATTCAATTAAAATTGTGCACATTGTGAAGCGTAAAGAATCTATACACCACTATACACAAGATACAATAACGAAACAAACAAAACGTTAAATTTACTGTAGAATAATTTAAGCAAATTTTGTTAATAAAAAAGAGGGATGATGAGTATGACATTTATGTATGTGCGTGGTTCAAAATTGTGCAAAATTTTATCATTTTCTTTGTAATTTTATGGATTGTTCACAAATGACATAAACTTAAAATTGTTTTTTCTCCTCTTTTGTGAATTAAACCTTCGCTTTAGATTCTTTTAAATTGCTGACGTCATTAGTGAACAACCTTACACAAGTATTTATTGTTTTTATGAATTTATTAGTAGAATAAAAGAGCTTGACATAAATTTTTGAGCTTTTTATTTTGTTTGATACCACAATGGATAGAAGCAAAAAGTATAAATACAACCAGCCAGTATGTATATCAATCTCCATATCACCCAAATTTATAAGAAAAGATTTGAATTTTTGCATTTTGTTTAATATGCAAGAAGGATTTACCATTCTACTTTTCACATGAAGTTTGAGATAGTTTTTTGTAATTTAGTTAAGTTCTATCCATCCAGTTTGGAAAATTTTCATTCCCACAATCATCAAACTGTAATATTGAGTCTTATTGCTTGCAGATTAATGTAATCTAAGTGCTTTAAATTTAAATAATTTGATTAACCAGACTGAATTTGCATGATACTAAGAGGTTTTAACAGTTCTAGTATACTGGAAATCTAATGAGATCTGGGATGAAATGGTTCGCAATATTAAGGAAGACTAAAAAAAGAGATTATAGTTTTGGGGATTCGTGTGAAAAAGTAGAATTTGAATGCATTTTGAGAATTTAAAAAAGTATATATGCAAATAACTAGGTATAAGTAAGTTTTAGAAAACTTTTGTGAGCTTTCATTGTACTTGCAAAATAACACACACCGCAAAGCATATAGTAACATGAAACTTCATATTCATGAGATTTTGTTACATTTTTAATTGAATTTTTTTCCATTGAATTTTTCTTGTACATTTTCATTGCGTCTAGGTTCCATAGAAGAACAAGAGTATTATTCGGATATACTACTAGGAATTAAAGCGGTTATACAATCGCATATTAAAGGCTTGCAAGATCGATTTCAAGACAAGTATGTGAGTCTTGAGTTGGAAGTACAGCGGAGAGATGACGTGATTACTGAGCTACAAAATCGCTTGAGGGATTATGAGTCGAACTCAAGAATTACTCCAATTAGGGAGAGTGAAAGAGATTTGTCCGGAAGCACTGGCTCTTCAGCTGAACTACCTTTCATGGTAATTTAAAATTTAATATAATCTTCCCAACTTTGCATCCTATTGTTCCTTGCATTCATTTGAAACCTTTCATCTTTTTTCAATAAAATAAAAATAAAATTATTAACATCATAAAAATTATTATTTTCTATGACTCTTAAAATCACTAGAGAGGTGATTCACAAGATACAATATTCCATTTTGCATCTCCACCATCTGAACATGAAATGTCAGAGAGACGTCAAAAGATTAAAAGAAGATTTTCATCGCAACAGGAAAGCAGTCGTTCATGGGATGAGAGCAGTGATCCTGAAAGTTTTGATTCTGTACAAAGATTATCATCTCCCCCACGCAATAGTAATATAGTCGTTTCGAATCTGACTGGAAACATTGTTGGTGACAGTGTTGTTGTGAATATTGAAGACTCAGAGGAATCAACAACGTCTAACGAGTCCCATACCGATGAAGAAGAGATGGAAGGGGAGATTGAAATTGAGAATGAGGAAGAAGGGGATGAAAATTTTCATCATAATGACTGGGAGGTGAGAATGCTTGCAGCTGAGCTAAAAAAGCGTGAAAGTATTACAGAATTCGCGAATGAATCAAGTGAAAATGATGGATTGCTTCGGAGACGTAAACGACGAAGTGATACGGATACGGATGCTAGTGAGAATGAAAATATAGCTCGTTCATCTAGACCACGAGCAGCAAGTCTTGATCAACACAACTTACGAAAGCAACAATATAAATGTCGGGGTGTCTTCAAGGCAATGAGCTTTGATCGCGACAAGGATCAGCTTTGAGAATTAGAATTCTCCTGTGAAATTGCTTTCATTAATCAAGTCATTAAATATTAATTGGTGAAACGAAGACAATTTAAGAATTTAATAGAATGAATTTTAAAGCTAATTAATTAATTTAATTTGTTTTCTTTAAGTTTTTTCGAAGATTAAGTTCCTTTTTTGTTTCAATTTGTTTCGTTGTTGATTATTTAAATTGTTATATGGAGATGAAATATAGAACGGAGATATATTTTTAAGTGCCATGATAGAAAACGTAAATTAATTAAGTTTAATTACGATTGTCAATAATGTCTATCAAATGGAATTGAAGTTGGTCCAAAATCGTTAAATTTGCAGTTTTGTATTGCACATTTAACGATATTGTTGACAAAATTTGAGTTGTTCAGGGCAAAACTATACAACAATCGAATTGCTAAGACAGCGACACTACTCAAGCTAGTCATAAGCATCTTCAACTCTAATTAAAACAACTTGTTTTAAAAATTTTATCTTAAAATAGTAAAGTAATATAAAATTGAGCATAAAACAAATTCGAATAAAGATTTATAGCTTTACGATGGATCAGTGCGAAGAACAGTATTTCATCTGTGATAAGCGCTAAACAAAACATAAGTATGAGAAAGTATTTTCTATTCCTGAATTCTGTTTCAATTTCTGTTCTTTTCTTCCTTTTTATCTCATATTTCTTGACGTTAATGAATAAAAGTTGTGGATAGTCTTTTCTGAATTTGATTGCTTCATTTACAACCTTATTATAAAGGTAAAAATAAGATTTTTAGAGCTCTTGTCTTTACTTATATTTTATTTCAATAAAATATATATTCTCATTAAGGCAAGTTTTAAAATTTTTGACTCCCTTGTAGGCTACAGGCAGAAATGTCAGCAAAAGAGTGGTTCGGATCCCAGTATAAATTGTAGGTCTAGGTTTGAGTGCAGTGGTTTGGCGCATCCTCACTCGTTAAACTCTCATTAGCTGCGAAATGCCCTAGCGCACCTCTGGATCACTATTGCACTATGGGCCAGAAATCGAAAACATTTCCGAAAATTATTTTTTTGGTCTAAATGATAGCTCTTTCATTCCCATTTATGAAAATACTTAGAAAAGTGGCCAATTCAGCCTAAGTTCCGAGTTATGGCTTTTCAAATTTTTGATTAAGAGCATTTTCTCGCACCACAAAAATTGTCACTACTTTTCATTAGATTCATGAAACTCTTTCAATTTCTTTTTATTTGGTAGCTTAAAATAAGAGCTTTATTTTAAAACAGTAAACATTTAAGTATGCATCTTTTAGCTTTATGAATTTTAAGGTTTTTTCAAAAAATCACGTGTTCAGTATCGTCTAGGACTTCACTTTTAAAATAAATGATGCTGAATCTTTTTTTATATTGTAGATATAAACAAGATATACAACTTTTATTAAGATACTATAAAGTTTTAGTAGAGTTTTGCTGATGAAATTAAGTCTTTTCTTCAAAAAAACTGCAATTTTTTGACATAAATTCCCATAACTTTTCAGGATAGCCCAAAGGAGTAGAATTTTTTTACATGTTTTGAAAGCTCTTTGGATATACTATCAGAATATACAATCAGCTTAAATTCGGTTACTGAGACAATCTCGAGCAATTTGACTTTGAAGTGTGACCAGAAATACATTTCAAAACAAAAAAATTGAAAATAAATTTTGTACGTTTTTCAAAATTTTAGTTTTTTGTTTTAGTTCAATAGATCTCATCAAGGCGCATATTTTGAGTACAAATATGTCATAATTTGAACAATTTTTATACTCAAATTTCAACAAAATCATTTTTATATATTTTTCAACAAATTTTACTTATTTTTCAATTATTTTAAATCAAAACTTATTTCAAATCTTCTGATTTTGATATTTTTTGAAATTTCTATGTTTTTATGTTAAAATGTCACTCCTAGAGCAACAATTCATAAAATTTTATTTACTTTAAGGTAAATTTTTTATAATTTTTTGCAAATTACACTCATTTTCTTATCTCTTTTTATCAAATTTTATTTTATAATAATTCTAAATATTGAAATTTAATGTAATATGCATAAAAATACTTTTAAATATTTAAAGATCATATATTATCCAATTAACGTAGGAATAAAGCTGGAATGAGCAAAGCTTTGATATGTTCCTTTAATCTGAAGGTAATTCTTCTTTCGATTCAGAACATATAAGCATCCAATCAACTATTTTTAATAAATTTCGGTATACATACTTATTTCCATGCAATTGTAAAGCATAAACTATCACCATGAATTATTAAAATTAAGGACCTATAATGAAAATAGTTTTTAAAAAGGAAAACGCTATCAACCATTTTCCAATCTATCAAATTTATTGTGACAATTTTTATCCAATGTTGAATGGTTCCTTTTAGTTTTTTTTACCATATTTCATTGTTTTTCCAATTTTTGTCTTTGCATATACTTTTTTTACTGATCTGTTGGCGCAACGTGATACATTTCAGATCCGTTCTGACAATTTATCATTATAAGGTAATCTTGTAGCTCTTGTTCCTATTTCTCCCGCTACAATTCAAGTTCCTCATCCGTTCCTTAATCCAACGTTGCCAAATATCTAATGGCTTGATCTCGTACATTAAGCAGTCGAAGTATCTAAACTTCTGAAAAAGAACAAATTTGGAAATAGCTGGATTGGAACCGATGACCTTCGAGTTACCATACCAAATTTGAGCCAATCGCCTTACTTATTTTGACCAGCGAGGCACTTAAATCCTTAAACATAGACAAAAATAGATTCAAGAACCATCATTTAGTTATGTTAAATTTCAAAGCGATGCAAATTTTTCAAACTTTTGTATTTATAGTTTATATATTTCATACTGGTAAATTCCCTCACCATTAGTGAGTCCAGTCAGATTATAAATATTGAGCTTTCAACTTCCTGACCTGGAAGGCAATTAAATAAGACATCTTTGAAATAGTGACATTGGTCAGCAAAAACGAGTTTCAGGTTGTAAAATAATGATCTCAGTAATCCGAGAAAAACTAAAATCAGTTGAATATCTCGAACAAAAACATAAAGACGTGTTTCATTGAAAAATCAAAAATAAAACACAGGTGATAGTTTATGCTTTACAATTGCATGGAAATAAGTATGTATACCGAAATTTATTAAAAATAGTTGATTGGATGCTTATATGTTCTGAATCGAAAGAAGAATTACCTTCAGATTAAAGGAACATATCAAAGCTTTGCTCATTCCAGCTTTATTCCTACGTTAATTGGATAATATATGATCTTTAAATATTTAAAAGTATTTTTATGCATATTACATTAAATTTCAATATTTAGAATTATTATAAAATAAAATTTGATAAAAAGAGATAAGAAAATGAGTGTAATTTGCAAAAAATTATAAAAAATTTACCTTAAAGTAAATAAAATTTTATGAATTGTTGCTCTAGGAGTGACATTTTAACATAAAAACATAGAAATTTCAAAAAATATCAAAATCAGAAGATTTGAAATAAGTTTTGATTTAAAATAATTGAAAAATAAGTAAAATTTGTTGAAAAATATATAAAAATGATTTTGTTGAAATTTGAGTATAAAAATTGTTCAAATTATGACATATTTGTACTCAAAATATGCGCCTTGATGAGATCTATTGAACTAAAACAAAAAACTAAAATTTTGAAAAACGTACAAAATTTATTTTCAATTTTTTTGTTTTGAAATGTATTTCTGGTCACACTTCAAAGTCAAATTGCTCGAGATTGTCTCAGTAACCGAATTTAAGCTGATTGTATATTCTGATAGTATATCCAAAGAGCTTTCAAAACATGTAAAAAAATTCTACTCCTTTGGGCTATCCTGAAAAGTTATGGGAATTTATGTCAAAAAATTGCAGTTTTTTTGAAGAAAAGACTTAATTTCATCAGCAAAACTCTACTAAAACTTTATAGTATCTTAATAAAAGTTGTATATCTTGTTTATATCTACAATATAAAAAAAGATTCAGCATCATTTATTTTAAGAGTGAAGTCCTAGACGAACGTAGTCATACTGAACACGTGATTTTTTGAAAAAACCTTAAAATTCATAAAGTTAAAAGATGCATACTTAAATGTTTACTATTTTAAAATAAAGCTCTTATTTTAAGCTACCAAATAAAAAGAAATTGAAAGAGTTTCATGAATCTAATGAAAAGTAGTGACAATTTTTGTGGGGCGAGAAAATGCTCTTAATCAAAAATTTGAAAAGCCATAACTCGGAACTTAGGCTGAATTGGCCACTTTTGTAAGTATTTTCATAAATGGGAATGAAAGAGCTATCATTTAGACCAAAAAATAATTTTCGGAAAAGTTTTTGATTTCTGGCCCATAGTATATTGATCTGAATAGGTAAAGGTTTTTTTTTTTTTTTTGATTGAATGTTGAATGTTGATGACTTTCCACTGATTTAAAACTTTCTTTAAAAAAAGATCACTCAAAAACTAAGTTAAATTGCCAATATTATTTAAAAAATGCTCGAAACCCTCACATCAGTTCAGAAAACTACAATATAAAAAAAAAGTTGAACGGTTTTAAATAAAGCAATCGAGTTTGAAATAAGAACCTTCTCAACTAAAATCTTCAAATATTCGTATGTGCTGCATAAAATTGAACAAAATTAACTTTTAAAGAACATTTCTAAGGAAGATTTGATTGACTATATCTACTTTTTACCATTAAAAAATGAGAACTTTGCACATATCAATTATAAAAAATAGTTATGTAACAATTAATTCCAGTCAATTTATTTTAACTAATCCTTTTCTATCATGAAAAGAAGCAATTGTCATTTATAATTTAATTTCTTATGAAGTAAAAATAAAAAAAAAATCACCATAAGCATCTCTTCTCCTTATTATAATTGTCGTCTAATTCAATATTATTAAATGGAATAACGAGAAAAACATGTGATTTTAATTTCGGAAGGATAATTTCATGAGAAACTGTTTATTTCATAATAAGCATGCATGCATGATATTAATAGATAAAAACTTTAAATATATTTTCCTCGAGTATACGAGTTTGAAATGAAAAGCGTGTTATTCTAAAAATCTATTAATTAGTTCAGACTATTCAATAGTATTTATGTTATGTTTAATGCACAACTTTTTGCGTTTTCGTTTTTGAAGACCAAATTAAACAAAGATGTAAGTAAATTGCTCATAATTTGAAGATAAAAAAAAAATGCTTTTGACATACATAAAATGACATTTCTGTACACACTCCTGTAAACTTAATTAAATTGAGGAAAAAAAAATCATAATTCATTCTATCTCGTCTAAGACATTCTATGTAGAAATTTATAGTAAAAAATAAAGAAATTTAAAATGTTCAATTTATTTTTCCCATTAAATATATTTTCGCACTAATTTAAAGATCAACATTCACGCTTTTCAGAGCATCAACAATCCATTTTGGCTTCTCTTCTGGATATAACTCATTCATATACGTTTTTACAAATTCCGGAAATTTATCGCTTTCAATGGCATCTCTCATATCACGCATGAGTTGAAGTTGGAAATAGACATTGTGGATTGTTAGTAGACTACACATGATTGGTTCATTGATTACAGCATGAATGTAAGCTTTTGTGTACGTTTTACAAGTGCTACATCCACACTTTTCATCAATTGGAGTCAAATCACATTCATACGTTTGCTTTCTTAAATTTAATTGACCAGATCTGACAAGTGCACATCCGAATCTAGCAGTTCTAGTAGGAAATACGCAATCAAACATATCAATTCCGAGAGCGACACATACAATTAAGTCTGAAGCAAATCCTACACCCATCAAGTATCTAGGCTTATCATTTGGCAATAAATCTGTAGATAAGCTAACAATCTTCCAAAAATCATCCTTGCTTTCGCCACCGGAAAGACCACCAACTGCAAATCCACGCACATCTCGTTTTGTTAAGGCTTCTGCACATTGCTTTCTTAATTCGGGCTGTAATCCACCCTGTACAATTGGAAATATTGATTGGTCGTCATTTCTTTCGTTTGCTTCTAAACATCTATCTATCCATCTTATTGTTCTGTGCATTGCTTCCTCAACCCTCGGTCCAGTAGTTGTCGTTTTCACAACATCATCCAGTTGCATTATAATGTCAGCACCAATTACATTTTGTAGCTTAATTGATTCCTCAGGTGTCAACATACATTCTGTAGAAGTATCGAAAGGTGATTGAAATTTGACACCTTGTTCTGTAATTTCAGCTAATTGTAAAAGAGACACCATTTGAAATCCACCAGAATCTGTTAAAAGTGCACGATCCCATGCCATAAATTTGTGTAATCCACCGATTTTCTTTAAGATTTCAGGTCCGGGTCGCATTCCTAAATGATAAGTATTTCCAAGCATAATCTGACAGTTCATATTGTCCATCTTTAATTGATTCACAAGCACTCCCTTTAATGTTCCTTGTGTTCCTACCTAACGAACATCAGAATTAAATAATCAGGTACAAGTGTATGTTCAAATTATTTACTTACAGGCATAAAAACAGGAGTTTCCACCGGTTTCGTCTGACGAAGCATCATCAATCCACGGCGAGCTTTTGTCTTAGAACACTTGCTTAATACTTGAAATGTTAATGGAGAATTTCCAGTCATGTTTCTTTATTTAATAATTATTTTATTCTTCTGGATCTCATGTAAACAGATGTAAATATAACCTTAGAATTTTCTTAAACAAAAAAGCATTTGTATTTGGAAATGTCGTTAAAATTAAAGGAGAAATATTGAACAAACAGTTAATTAAGTTAAAACTAGTCAGATGATCTAAAAATATAATTGATATAATTTGACAGATTAATTCAATAAATTTGCAAGAAATGGATTATTTATAACGTGATCCTTTCCATCATGTTCGATAGCATCATACATAAATTTCCTATTGACTCTACAGCGCATCCCACACTTCTGAGAAGCACAATAATGGCAAGGGAAGTGACATCCAGGACATAGAAAATCAAAACAGTCACAAATATCTTGATTATTGACTTTCAATCTGCCTTGTTCATCATAAATTGCTGTATAATTGTAAGTCTTTTTGGCTTGAGGTCTTGTAGTCTGTTGCTGCTGCTGTGTCCTCCTTTTGTTCTTTTCTCTTCTCGAATTTTGTGGATTAAAGTTGTCTAGGAAATTTGAAGAGTATTGAAGTGTTTCGAGATCCCTTTTATTCTTTTGCTGTGAAGATATAGTTGGTGAAGGTTGCGCTTGAGGAACTGAAGCACCTTTTTTGACTGCTATATTTCTTGGTCTTGTTGATTCATGGGATGCAGTTGATTTTGTCGCAAATGCTGGCGGTGCACTTGGTTCTTCTCCTGATGAATCGTCGCCTATAAATATTGTATTTTATTAATTAAACTGCTTATTACAAATGAATTCAAGCACTTACTTAATATTATGAAGCCGTCAGTCATGATTTAATTGATTTATACAAGAATTTAAACTTTATTGGACATAAAAATACGGAAATTTAAGATAAACTGGAATTTTGGTTGAAACTGCTGTTTATATTTTTAAGTAAGCAAGTTATCAGTTGTTACCTCGATTGATGCGCATCTGTTTCTCAAAAATAATTTGTTTAATACTAGATCTTCGAACAGACAGACAAAAAATTAGCACACAAATTATTCTGTTCTAAAATGTTGTTCTAAAACATTTCTTAAAGTAATATTGTTTACAAATTTTATTTTAATTAATTCTCAAGAAAATCATCTTAATTAGACAAACATAACAGTTCTAAGCATCTCAAAATTAATTAAATTAATAGAATACAATGGATGACGAAGCAGAAACCTACAAATTATGGAGAATTCGTAAAACTGTGATGCAGGTAAAGTTTGTTATTAAAAATCACGCGGCAGTGCTTAATATTTACGCTTATATCCTTAGCTTGCTCACGATAGAGGATATCTAGTAACACAGGATGAATTGGATCAGACATTAGAGCAGTTTAAGGAACAATTCGGAGACAAACCGAGGTAATTTTGATTATTTCATGTAATATTCATATTATTAATGCTTTTGTTCTTTAAATTTAGTGAAAAGCGACCTGCTAGATCTGACTTGATTGTTTTGGTACATCATAATGACGATCCAACGGATCAGATGTTTGTGTTCTTCCCTGATGAATCGAAAATCGGTATTAAATTGATTAGAACTTATTGTCAACGAATGCAAGAAGAAAATATCCATCGAGCAATTATGGTTGTTCAAGGCTCAATGTCACCATCAGCAAAGCAAGTTCTTGGAGAAATGGCACCAAAATACATCATCGAACAATTCTTGGAATCAGAATTACTTATTAATATCACAGAACATGAATTAGTACCAGAGCATGTAGTTATGACGCCTGAAGAAAAATCAGAACTATTGGCACGTTATAAGCTCAAAGAGAACATGTTGATGAGAATTCAAGCTGGTGATCCTGTGGCTCGCTATTTTGGACTAAAAAGAGGACAGGTTGTCAAGATTATTCGACCTTCTGAAACAGCTGGAAGATACATCAGTTATCGACTTGTATGTTAATCTTTTATTTTACTACTTCTGTATCTCTTAAGAAATTCTTAATAAAATCATTAAACTTTTACGAAATAAAAATCTTAATTCTTAATAGAAATAAGCAAATCGCTGGAAGTAAGGAACAAAGAAAAAAATAGATTTTTGGATTCAAATGATTTCAGGAAAATCCAGAATTGTTTTATTTCACATTATGATAATCAGGAATTAAATGATTCAAAATAGTTGTCTATTCTGATGGCATTTCAATAGCTCCTGATTTAATGTCGTCAATAACATCATGTGCTGCTCGTCCATCAATTGTACATCCGACGCTCTGTGCAGTTCCTAAAACTTCTCTGCATGTTCCCGAGAGTTCGCGTGCCATTGAACGAGGTCTCATTACACGAGCAATGCTAATAACATCATCTAATGAAATGTTACCACTGTGTTTAACTAAAATAACATAAAAGTATTGGTCCACATCCAACAAGTATAGCAGCAATAGACTTACTGTTTTTCACCTTCTTTCTGTCTCTTGGTGGTTCCTTAAGTGCCTTAACAATCAATGAGGCTGCTGATGGAACGACTGAAATAGCGGCTTGACGATTTTGGATGGTAAGACATACTGTAATCTTCAATCCTTTCCAGTCTCCAGTGGCTTTTGCAATATCATCACCAACTTTCTTTGGTGATAAACCCAATGGACCAATTTTTGGAGCCAATGATGAAGTTGCACCGACTTCACCACCAACGCATCGCAAATATACCTGCTTGATTTCTGTTGGGTCGAATTTTGGTGGCATGTTGAATGCTTATTGAACTAAAATTAAGAGAATAATAAAATTAAAAATTGACAATTATAACCTTAAAAATGTATGCACAAAAAATGATTCAAATTAATGTTTTACGGAATTTATATCCTCTGATAGCTATTTATGCTGGTTGGATTAGTAAATTAATGTCACTCTAAATTGGCATAATGCTGCTATTCAACAGGATTATTGTTTTTGAACAATGAAAGAAAACACAACAAAAATAATTTGAATCCATTTTTTGACACTTTAACCAAGTTTTAAGGCAATTTCTTCATATCACATGTATGTGCTGGGAACTTAGAAATAGCTTTTAATATAATTTAATTAAATTACGGTAAGAATAAACGAACTTTTTAATTAAAATTAATTCAATGTGACTCGATCTTTGAAAAGTTGATCGAAAAAGGAAGAATCTCATTGAACGCACTCAAGTTCAAATTATTTTTTTTTTGTTCACTGAACGAAACATCAGAAAGTAAACAAAAAGCTCATAAAATATTGAATTTGTTAAGTTAAGCAAGTTGCAAGCATGTCAAGCGATGAAGAGGATTATATGAGCGATGCCTTTTTGGCTAAGTTAGAAGATGTCAAGCCGAGCTTAGTGACAAATAATTCCACAAAGCGTAGGAATGAAATTGAATTAAGGCAACAAAAAGAAAAGCAAAAAGTAAGTAGAATAACATGTTAAATAATGTATTTTTACAGTTTAATAATATTTACAGTACAAACCGATGCATGTAGTACAAAAGGAAAAACTTAAAGAAGGACTCAACAAAGCATTAACATCCGATAACAAGGGGTTCGCGCTTTTATCAAAAATGGGATATAAAGAAGGAACAAGTTTAGGCAAAACGCAACAGGCTATAAAGGAACCGATCAAAATTAAAGTTCCAACAGAAGGTAGATTAGGTCTGGGAACAGAAACGTTAATTAAAGAGTCGAGAGAAAGGCAGTTGACGAGTTTAAAGCGTAAAATCAATGAATCAAATTTATCAACAGAAGAATATCGTAAGCAAATGCGTGAGATGTCAGACAAGAAGCAAGTGCCATTCGATTTGCACAAGTTACAGAGAACTTGTCGATTACTTGACATGGACAGCAGAGTAAATGCTCCTATTCATTCATGGTTTTGGCCAGAAATTAAAACCACCGAAGAAGATCCAATAGAAGAAGAAAGTGAATCTACTGAATTAAGTGTAAGCAAGCAATTATCATGTTTTGGTCATGTCATTGTCAATATATATTTATAGGATGTCGAAAAATTGGAAATGCTGAGGAAATTTCTTAGAAATTCGTACTTTTATTGTGAATATTGTAGTGAACATTATAAGGATGCAAGTGACATGAAATCGAACTGCCCTGGACCCAATAAAGATGATCATTAAATTATTTTGTAATGTAATTAAGTTTATTTTCTAAGAACCGGTATTTGAATTAATACATCCTTAATTTTATCCATTGTATCCTTATCAATCTCTTCTGGATTTTTCAGAGACAACGAAAATAGGACTTCTTGTGAACAATCGATGAAATTCATGAGATATCTTATAGCTGTAAATAGATTGAAACGTGATTAAATAGACATTAATTAAGACATAAAGCAAGTCTTATTTACCTCCTTCAATGTCTATGCTTGATGCTCCGAATTTCTGTCTAATGTCAAAGATCTGAGTGCTTCTACCTGCCAACATTGATGGATCACTAAACACTTGATTTTTCACTGCATAAAAGTTCCTGTTCATTTAATAAAATAGTTAATTGAGCTACAATGACTATTGAAATATTTCGTACCCAATTTTCTTAAATTGTGAGACAATTACGAGTGTTTTGTTTGTAAACTTTTGCACAACAAACTCTGTATGTTCTCCATTTATTTCGAACGCTTCTAAGTAGTCGAATGCTTCCTTTGTAGGCATAATTAATCAAAATTTTCTATTCTAAGATCTTTTATTTTTATATTTTGGTTGAAATAATTCAAGAGCTTTTTGAAAGCTTCTTGAATATTTTTAAGCCGTTAAAAAAGCTGATAAAGCTCAATTTTTAAGGAGGTCAAAAAAAAATTCTGTTCTTTGAGAAAAAATTAATTGAAGAAGAACGTTGACTTCCGAAAGAAGAGTAAAGGTAAATCTGGATCTGTGGAATGAAGCTAGACCTTTGTGATTGCTTGGAAATTAACTGTTCTGGATGTTTTTATACAAAAGGTTTATGTACGAGGATGTCTCATGGGATGGAATCGAACAAACCAAAGTGATGAATAATCCTTATTTATCTTCAAAAGTTACAGTAAAATGATTTAAATTATTGTTTATTTCATTAAAATAAAATACTTTACATAAAAAGTACAAAAATATTGAGTATATTTAATCATATATCTTAGGATTGAGGAAGAGTAATTTGTTAAATCCTCGACTTTCGACTGAAGCCACTTGTGTCCGTCCTTTATCATCCATATAATTCATTGTATTGGAACCAACTAATTTCAGCATATCTTCAATGTGAATATCGTAAGCATGTTCTGCAAATACTTTACACAACTCCCTTACATACCAGCTTCCAAATTCAATATCACGATGAGTCATAAATCCAGGAATAGTTCCATAACATATCAAAATGTCACTAAATTTTGGCACTGAAATCTGTGACATTTCATTTAAAGGCTTTCCATCAGTTTCAATTTTTACATAAACGTTACTAAATCTATCAGATATCTTTCCACGACAAAATGGAAAGAAGAATACTTTTGGTTTGCCAACTAGTGCTGGACATAACACATTCGAAAACATTGCGATGACATCTTCTGTGGCTTCACGACTTCCATCCGAAAATTCCATTATTGTTTGATTATCATATAAATCACCGTGAGTTTGGATGCACAAAAAGAAAGCATCAATATTCTTAATGTATGTTGAATCAACCAATTGATTAAGCAATTCAAGAAGCTGTATCTTTGTTAAATCTTCATAATAGAAAACAGTAAAGCCTAATTCACGAAAGAGCGTTACCAAGTTCTCACGATCTCTATGAGCACCATTTCGATTGGTTTTTGAGTTCTCAAAGTTAATTATATTTACAAAAAAGAGTACACCACGTCTACGACTCTTCATCGAGTATACTGGAAGTTTTGGATGTGTTCCGAAATTGGCAGCTCTCTTGACTTCAACATTTGGTTCCAGTTGAAAAAATGTCTCCTTTTCAAATGGCTGTAGCTTCAATTTAGCCTTTTTGCTCATTCCAATACCATCTGTAGCTTCACTACTATCTTCTTCCTTACTGCTTATATTATTGTTGATGTAATTCATGTCATTTTTCATTCTGATTTCATTGTTTGGATTTATGGATGTAATTAGAGAGTTTTGCCTGTTTAAGTTACTTGTTTCTCGTAATGAAAGGAATCGATTCTCTTCAATTACAGCTGGACAAGTGAATGTTTGAGCTGATACAGTAGATGATGTTAAAAAGTTTAATGCTTCGTCATTTTTCTCTTCCTTGAAAATTTCCAAAAGTATATTAAATGCTAATGGTCCTCTTTTTGTCAATTTATCATACAGTCTATCTAATCGCTTATGTTCGTCATCGTTCTCATTTTCTATGATACTAATCATAGTTTCTGTAAATACCTTCTTCTTTAAAAGCAGTTTACTCATTTCATAATAATTTGTAATTTCAATTAAGCGCTGTTTATTGTTCTTTATAATCCTTCTATGTACGTCGTCCATTGTTACACTACTTTGTTCGTCTGTTATCGTTAAAATATGATAAGATTTACTTATTTAACGTATATTTTTACAATAATATAATTATTACTTTAAAAGAGTTACACTTTGTTTACAAAACAATGAACTTTTGAATTTTGTCAGTGATGTCTATAGTGCTTTTCTATTTTTTGATAAAAACTCTAAAAATGTACGCACTGGATTATCAAGTTATGCATTTGTAATATCCATTGAGCTATGTTTTATGACATATTTACGATCCTTTGTCTGAAAGATGTACAATTAACGATAAAAATGCAAAAGATTAGTAAGAAATCCATGAAAAAACAAGCTTTAAAAGGGGATGAAACTATCTTTAAAACATCGACAAAATCAGAGCTGCTCAATATTTTCAACCGAGAATCTTAAAGCTTAGAAACTTAATTGGTGCATTAATTAATTGCAATTAGAGAAAACAGAAAATCAAAGATCACAAATATATGAAAAGCAGCAAAATAATTAAACTAATGAAGGAATATCACCAATCCAATCGCAACACTCAGGTGAAGAAACACTGAAGTGAACATTAAAATCATCGAATATTAAAAATGCGAAAAAGTGTGTTAAATAAATTAAATTTCCTGCTTAATTCACGCAGTCTATTGTGCTCAAATGCTTTTTATAGCAGGCAACTATCTACAAAGATCAATAGGGATCACAAGATTCCTGATGACAATTTAACATTAAAGGACTTTTTGGTTGTTGGAAAAAACTTGCCAAAACAAAATATCAAATATGAAGGAACAGACGAAAATGAAGACATTCTACCTCCTTACTTACAAAATATCGACATTGATGGACAAGGCAGAAAGGTTTATTTTGATGTTTATGGTTGTCAGATGAATGTTAATGATATTGAAATTGTTTGGTCAATTTTAAAAAGCCACAATTATAAAAAGACCCAAGAATTAATGGAAGCAGATGTCATATTAATTATGACCTGTTCAATTCGTGATTCAGCTGAGACAAAAATTTGGAATAGATTAACTCATCTCACAGGAATGAAAAGGAAACGACCGAAAAATCAGCCATTGAATATTGGCATTTTGGGATGTATGGCTGAAAGATTAAAGGAAACATTAATCGAGAAAGAACGTCAAATTGACTTAATCGCCGGTCCTGATGCATATAAGGATCTTCCACGACTATTATCATTATCCAAAAATGGATATAGCACAATCAATGTCTTATTGTCACTTGATGAAACTTATGCTGATGTTATGCCTGTAAAGTTTGATAAAAATGCTGTATCAGCATTTGTATCCATTATGAGAGGATGTGACAATATGTGCAGCTATTGTATTGTTCCATTTACTCGTGGCAAAGAAAGATCACGTCCAATAGATTCAATAGTGAAGGAGATTCGTACGTTGCATGAAGAACAAGGAATTAAGGAAGTTACACTGTTGGGCCAGAATGTTAACAGTTATAGAGATACTTCAAAAGGAATCAAGGATTGCCCAACAGAACTAGTAACAGGATTTAAGACAGTATATAAAACAAAAGTCGGTGGTTTGAGATTTGGAGAATTAATTGAACACGTTGCAAATATATCTCCGGAATTAAGGATCAGATTTACATCACCTCATCCTAAAGACTTTCCAAAAAGTCTACTAGAAGTCATTAACAACTATCCTAATATCTGTAAATCTCTTCATATTCCAGCACAATCTGGAAGTTCTAGTGTTTTAGAAAGAATGAGAAGAGGATACACAAGAGAAGCATATTTAGAGCTAATAAGAGATGTCAGGAAGATCATCCCGAATGTATCACTATCGTCCGATTTCATAAGTGGATTTTGTGGTGAAACTGAGGACGATTTTCAGCAGACTTTATCACTCATCAACCAAGTTAAATATAACGTGGCATTTCTATTTCCTTATAGCATGCGAGCAAAGACAACAGCATATAGAAAATTTACTGACGATGTTCCTAATGATATCAAACTCGAAAGACTTCATCGAATGGTAGAAACATTTCGTGAAAATGCTCAAGTCTTAAATGAAAAGTTTATTGGAACCAAGCAATTGATTCTTATAGAAGACACGAGTAAAAGATCAGAAAAGGAGGTATATGGACGATGTGATGGAAATATCAAAGTGATTATACCTAGCTCTGATAAATTTAGCATTGGAGATTATGTTGCAGTAGAAATTACAAGTGCTAGTTCTCAGGTTCTTAAAGGATTTCCTTTAGAGAAAATTTCTTTAACAGATTTTTACAGGCAATGCTGAGTTTGTACACGCTTTTTTATTACCACGTTTTTATTGAGTTGCTCTGTTGGTTGGTTGGTCACGATCAAATCTTGCAATTGATTTATCTACCACTTCTACTGCTCCAATCGAGCTCAAATTTTTTATACACACGTGTTCCCGGTGACAATACAATATTTATCTACTTTAAAACCACAATAATGTTTAATTATAGTACAATTTAAGTAAAACTTTTTTATATGGAAAAAAATCCAATGTCAATGAAAAAAATTGAAAAGACAAAAAAACAAATAACATTTTTTTCTTGAAGTTAAGTCTGTTGTTAAGAATAAAAACCAAGCGACCCAAAAAGGAGCAAATAAAAAAACGTTAAAAAACACGTTTTTATCAAAAAGATTAAAAACAAAAAGTTAAAAAATAAAATAAGATCACACTTTTAGCGAATCAGGATTTTAAAAATTTTCTTGTGACAACTAGAAATGTAACAAAATTTTTTTCAAAAAATTGTGATTAAGTCCAAGAATATAATGACTCTAAAAGCGTGGGGCGTAATTTAAGGATGAATTTCTTAGTTCAACTAAGTTGTTAAGTAAGAGAAGCGTCAAATCACAAAGCCCATTTTTGGTTTCGATCATAGTAGGCTATTTTCAAAAAATAATGATTTTATATATATTAGCATTCTTTATCATTTATAATATCCAGATATGTTTTGAAATGCAATTTAAAGCATTTTTGGTTTCGATCATAGTAGGCTAATTTCAAAAAATATCGATTTTATAAATATTAGCATTGTTTATCATTTATAATATCTAGATATGTTTTAAAATGCAATTTAAAGCATTTTTGGTTTTGATCATAGTAGGCTATTTTCAAAAAATATCGATTTTATATAAATTAGCATTCTTCATCATTTAAAATATCTAGATATGTTTTAAAATGCAATTTAAAGCATTTTTGGTTTTGATCATAGTAGGCTATTTTCAAAAAATATCGATTTTATAAATATTAGCATTGTTTATCATTTATAATATCTAGATATGTTTTAAAATGCAATTTAAAGCATTTTTGGTTTTGATCATAGTAGGCTATTTTCAAAAAATATCGATTTTATAAATATTAGCATTGTTTATCATTTATAATATCTAGATGTGTTTTAAAATGCAATTTAAAGCATTTTTAATTTTGATCATAGTAGGCTATTTTCAAAAAATATCGATTTTATATACTAGCATTGTTTATCATTTATAATATCTAGATATGTTTTAAAATGCAATTTAAAGCATTTTTGGTTTCGATCATAGTAGGCTAATTTCAAAAAATATCGATTTTATATAAATTAGCATTCTTTATCAATTATAATATCTAGATATGTTTTAAAATGTAATTTAAAGCATTTTTGGTTTTGATCATAGTAGGCTGTTTTCAAAAAATATCGATTTTATATAAATTAGCATTCTTTATCAATTATAATATCTAGATATGTTTTAAAATGCAATTTAAAGCATTTTTGGTTTCGATCATAGTAGGCTGTTTTCAAAAAATATCGATTTTATATAAATTAGCATTCTTTATCAATTATAATATCTAGATATGTTTTAAAATGCAATTTAAAGCATTTTTGGTTTCGATCATAGTAGGCTGTGCTTTTCCCCGATGAAAACGATATATCCAAATCACAAAAACAGAATAAAGTTATTTCACAAAGTATTTATTCGTACTTCTTTTCAATATGATGAATATATAATTCAGATATAAACTTTCTGCTTAATTGGATCAGATAGCTAGAATGGAAGCATTATGAATGTAATGAAATGTAATTAAATGTATTTTCCTACTTTTTCGTGGATTTATCGGAAGCGACTTTTCGATCCGACGGTCGGGGTAAAAAGAAAGAATAAGAGAAATCTAGCAACTGAGCAACAAATATGTAAAAATGTATATGAAATTCAAATATATAAAAACCAGTATTTAACATCGTCCCCCCTGGGGTTCTGGAAGAACTCCATATAATGTTGCTTAGCGGTGAGTAGGTGTACATAACTTTCTGCGTAGTAAATTCAATTCTTTTCGCTTTTCGATGATTTCTCTCAAGTCAGGCTGACGGTGTTGTCCGTAATCTAGAGGATCGAATGGTGGATTTGATACGATATTGACAACAATATTTCCATTATGTGATGAAACTTTTCGTGACTTATTTGTGCTTGTTACGTTATTAGCTACTTCGTGCACGCAAGGTGCAACGTTAGTTGCTTTCGGGACAGTTTCAAGTCTTTGTATTTCCATATTACCTTTGCTCATATCTATATCTATCATCTCAAAATTGTACTTTTCAGTACGAGAACACACACTAATAAATCCTCCACTTTGACTTGTGACTGGAATCGTTTTGTGCAGACCTCGTGAATCAGGAACTGACGTTGTGATAAGCAAAACTCTTTGCGGTATTTTGCATTCAACGTGCATATCCAGGAATGCGAAAATTGGCTTTGTTACAACTTTTGTGACTTGAAATTTTTTGTTGAGTTTTGAGAAGGTTTGTCTATGTGCTCGGTTGTCAGCACAAATAACCTGGGATTCACTCCACAGCAATGCAGTACTCACGGATGCTTTATCTTCGTATCCTATGAAGCAATTGAAATGACGCGATCCGTTCCAATTAATTGAAACAATGAGTTTTACAACTCCAAATTCTGACATCACTCCGTAAACGTCACCTGCCCCATATTTCGCTGGAAAATTAGTTGCGTAAATAATGTTTTCACCTGATTTGTCTAGATACTCTCGTTGTTGTTGTTCTGTTAGCTGGATGTTCATGGCTCTCTGCATATTTATATCGCTATTGGTGTCGAATTTATTAAAGAAAATTAATTTTTTCTGATCTTTCGGCATGTTTGTGCTTTTGGAAAATTGTTGTTTTGAATGATGACTGCCCCTCGACTTGATGAAATTCAAATATTTCTTGACCGTTATATTGCAGCTAGCATATTTATTTGATTCAGCTGCTGGATCTTCTAATCTAATATCTAATTTAGCGAGTAGATGTGCTGGTCGTTTTTCCAATAACGTGCCGTTCTTCAACTTAATGTCAGCGACTCTTATAGCAAAGTCCTTGCCTGGATACACCTTGGCAACAATTCCTCTTTCCCATCTTGATGGATTTTTTGTCGGATCCATGTATATTACGTAATCATTTAATTTCAGACCATATTTTGCCTTGGCTGAATTTATTGGTCGTCTTGTGATGATCGGTGCATATTCTGCTATGAATCTATGACGAAAAGCTTGCACTATAGCGTTTATTCGTTTAGCTGGCTTTATATCCATCAAATTGGGTGGATTCGTGAGCTCGTTATTTGCGCTGTCATCCATTCCTGGATAATTTTGATATCCTCTCTTGATATCTTTGATGAGTCTTTCCCAGCATCCTCCCCATTGTGGATTGTAAGGTGGGTTAAAGTGCCAGTTGATGCGCTTGTCAGCTGTATCCTTTTGGATCTGATCAATGTCAATTACTCTTGACGCACCGACGAAATTCAAACCATTATCACTGTAGACATGCGCAATGGGTCCTCTTCTAGCCCACAACTTATCAAATGCTACGAGAAAGTTTGCGGTACTTTTGTCGTCAAGTACTTCAAGATAGACTGCTCTGGTGACCATACACGTGAAAATCACAATTTGTATTTCGACTTTGCGTCTTGAGCGTCCACTATATACAGTGAATGGGCCGAATAAGTCACATCCAGTGTGGAAGAATGGCTTGTTGTTGATGTCGAGACGAAAATCGGGCAAATCTGCCATTCGTGGTGATGCTTTCTTCGTTCGTTTCTCTAAACAATGTAGACATCTAGCACGACATCTTCTGACTGCTCTCTTGACGTTGATAATCCAACATCTTGATCTCAATTGTGCGATTATCGAATTATCACCTACGTGTAGATTTATTTTGTGATAAAAATTCACAATCGCGTCGGTAATTTCATGAAAATTTGGCAAGATTGGTGGACATCGTGTGTTTATGGGAAATTTTGCAGACAGTCTTGTTGTGGCTCTTATTAACTTGGTATGTGAGCAAAAGAATGGAGATAAGGAGTAAAGTTGACTTGACTTTTTGACGTTGCCATCTTTTTGAAGACTTTTCCATTCTTCTGCAAATATTAACTTTTGCACTTCTCTTATTATATAATTTTCAGCTCTTGTAAGTTCTGAATTTGTTAGGTGACTTGTTCTTCTTAGGTATGGCTGTTGTGGCAGCAAGTGATCTGCAAAACGCAAGGTTTTAGCGATAACTCTTGTAAGACACGGCCAATTGGCTCTAATTTTAGCAGCTATTTGAGTAAGTACACTTGTTGTTTCTTCTAATTTGTCGTTTGAAACTCTCGATACATTTACATCTACTTCAATTTTCTTAATGATATTTGTGGATGGTTGCTTGGGCCACTTTTCAGGCGATTCGTGTAAAAATGCTGGACCAGTGAACCACTCATGATTTGCATCACTGTAATTGATGACTCTTTCCTTTGTAGCATAATCAGCTACGTTCTGCTTCGACGGTACATATTTCCACTTGTCGGCGGATGTTAATTCTTGAATTTCAGATATTCTGGGTGCTGTAAACGCCGTTCTCGGAAGATGATGAGACTTTATCCACTTGAATACAATATCTGAATCAGTCCAGCAATTATAATCGGTAAAATTCAATCTTCTATGCCATTGTATCACGGACTTAAGTAAGCGGGCGCCAATTAGGCCAGACATTAACTCAAGACGTGGGATTGACATATACTTGAGTGGAGCTACCTTTGCTTTTGCTGTTATTAGTCTAATAATGATCTGATTTCCATACTTAATACGTATATATGCAGCTGCAGCATACGCTTCCGTTCCTGCGTCAACAAAAATATGCAATGTGCATTCGCAGTCACTTAATGGATGTGGACAGTACTTTCTAGGAATTTCCAGCTTAGAAACTTGCGTAAAATCTTTTAACCAATTCTGGAATTCTTCGCATATTTCCTTAGGAGGTTTTTTCTTCCAGTCCGTTCCTGCTCGCCATACATGTTGCATTATTATATGTCCTCTTATGCGAAAAGGCGCTATTTGACCTAAAGGATCAAATATTCTCATCACCGTACTTAGTATTTCTTTTTTCGTTGGCATATAATCTTGCTCGATACATTTTTTTATAATGCTATCGTCGTTCAATTTATACACATAGACATCAGTTTGTGGCTTCCAGAATATACCTAGCACTTTAGTTATAAGCTCCTCATTATCGTTTGCGATTTCTGTCATCTTTTTGCTTACATTTCCTTTTGGTAATTTCTTAAGAAAATCTGGACTATTTGATTGAAATTCGACTAAAGGCCATCCAATCTTTGAGAACATTACGATGAGATCGTTG